AAACATTTGCGTCGGAAGGACGCAAACAAAATAGTACATGTGGCCCTACAATTGAATCCCTAAGGTGCAAGAAACAGAGGACGCCCCAAAATGACATGATGTAGAAGCGTTAATGCGGAAACGAATAAAACCTTTAATGAGTTAAGACATATAGCTAGAAACCGAGATTTGTGGAAATCCTATGTAAATAGTAAATAGACGAAAAGTTGAAAATCACTACTGGAAGCAAAACGTTTTATCAAGTAATGAATGATAATGAATGATTAAAAAAATAAAAAAAGAAAGATATACTAATTAAGTCTTCTGTTGGCACTGGAGAAAGACATTCAAACTAAGTTCTATTGAAAAGCTCCAACAATTAATTTTAAAATTACAGACAAGGGCCATGCAAATAGCTATCATTTACCATAGTACGATAGTAATCTTCTACCAGTCTCATGTGACTCAACAAATTTTATTATTTAAACATTAATATCAAGAACCTAAAAACAAGAATATTTATATTCAATAAGAGTATGAAATTTGAAATAACGTGAACACGAAAAGTCCTTTCCAATGTTTAAATAATTTGCACTGTATTATAAAAATAAGGAAACATGTAGTCTTATCAAATAAGACGACTAAATGAATATAAATACAGGAAATCAATAACTTATTCTAAATTATCTTGATTATTGTTTGTTAAATACAGTTTCTTGTTAATATGAGAAAACAACTTTTTTATAACCAGCCGGTCGGCTTGACAGATAGCAGCATAGATAGCAAATGGAAGGAGAGAAATTTTAGTCCGCTTTTATATAAACGCAGACATTTTATAATATAAATATAATTATTTATTTTCCAACATATTTGCTTTTACTATTAATCAATAATTGATCAATTCAAATGACAGTCCATCTTTTCACCACATCTAGCTTCAACAGTCGCCAAATGAAAGCGTTTACTGAAGTTTTACCATATCTTGTGCAACCGTCACTTGAAGTGTGTTTCCCTCAAATGGCATTAAAAATTCAAGTTTGTGATAAATAGAAAAAATTAAAATATTATTTAAAAACACAAGTTTCTATCCTGACCATTTCACTTCGCAGAATGATCAAAATATCATGGCGTTGTTATTTAAAGAACTCTCTTACGAGGTAACTAACTTTTACGAGATCTTCTGCTATGATTCTGCGCATAAAATTCACTGCTCACGGTTTATGGTTGTTGCAACTTTCAACTAGAAAAGAGAAGAAGAAGAAGCAAATACTTCGAGCTCGTCTCCGATTGTTTTCAATAACAGCATGATGATATTCGGACTATTTACTAATGTTGAATGTTGGTTGGGATTGTATAAAATACTCAACAAAAAACAAATATGTGCAAACAGAGATACACCATCCTAATACAAAACAAAAGTATACATATTTACAAATATCTCAAAAAATATCAAAGAGTGGAACTAACGTACAGAATACAAATAAATCCAAATGCCTATGTGACTGGCAATCATCATTTTTGTGATCGGAAGTGAGAACGGAAGTAACATTTTTAAAAATTAAAAACGTAAAAACATAAATAAAAATTTAATTTCAAAATCAAATATAACGTAAGAAACTATTCTATATTCATAGAAGAGTTCAAATAGTAATTCTTTACAACAACAAACACAGTATTAAAAATAACACAACATATGTATATATAATCCGCAATTATTGCGTTTCAGCAAACTGGGGCCAAAAAGCGTGTGTGCATAAAAGAGTACGACAAATATTTCACTCAAGTACTTGTCTTTTGAGAAATAAGAAAAAGCAACAAAAACTTCTAATTTTCAACGAGCTAAATCTGCAAGTTTGGCTTGTTCATTTAAATCGCACTTAGTCGTGAGTAGATCGCGTAATAGTGGGTAGTAGAGAGAAGGTCAAGCTAGAACCAGCCAGAGGCATTTATAAAGGCAAGAATCTGGCCAATGCTGGAGATATCGCCGAGTGTGTTGATGAAATTTAAGCCTAGTTCTGGCCAAACCATCAGGTGTTCTGGTGTCCTTTCTTCGATAGCTGGTAGGCCAAGTCTAGCTTTATGCCGTCCATTAGTCCAGTGTCCTATAAAAACAGATATTAACCTAGATACTTCTGTGATTTGCTTCTGTGTATTGGCAATGTGTTACTCAAAATATATTTTATTATTACTGCTATACCCTGCTAATGCGTTACTATCTTGCTCGGTAATTGAGCTTGGTAAGCCATCTTTTAAGGTTGTGAATATCACTAATGATTTTGAAATTAAGGTGTAACAGTAATTATAGTGATGGTAAGGGAAAAAACTATTTTGAAACATATCATTTCTCTTAAAAATATCTACAATATCTAACAACAAAATATTTTCTCCAGTCCTATAAATTTTGTTTTCAAATTCTGCTTTTATGCTCTTAAGGCATTTTAAAGAATTTATATGAATATAAAATAAGATATAGGACACACTTCATATAAAAAAAGCTCATTGTTGAAATAAACTAATTGAATAAAAGTATTTTTGAGTATATTAATTTATTTTTTAAATGAACATATCTCAATATTTTCACAATATTGTTAATTTCTTTACTTAGATAGATAGATAGATTTTAAACGGGTTGGAAACTTGTCACCACGTCACTGCAACCTTTGAGGATTATTGTGGCATACCTACTTTAGTTCCATAGACAAGTAGCAGTTAAGAACGGCATTATGTATTTTGGTGAGATGTTGCCTAATTCCGTTATAAATACCGAAGTCTGAGTCTGGCGAGACTATCACAGTTACAAAGAATGTGTTCTGCTATTTCCTCTTCTTCGCAACAAAGATTTCTTTACTTATCTTTACTTATATAAAATTCATAAAGAAAGAAAATTTTCGTTATATTTAATATTGATTTTGTACTTGTCATTACCTTATTTTGTGTTTCAACACATTATTTAACCATTCACCGAAATCTAATACTTCGCTATGAAGTCGAAATTCAATTGATTATCTATGGAATGTTTCATATAACCCTTAACAGCTAAACGTATGTAGGTTATTAGAGAACACACACTAAGTTTTGGAAAGCTTTAACGAAGTTTCTTATAAAAATGGTATTAGAACATTAATCAAATTACCAGCTTAACATAAATGTTCAATGTACGGTACGAGTCGCTTCCGTTTCATATCAAAGCTGACACGTTTGGCTAAAATATAAAATAAACTGATAAATGCGGTAGAATTAAGAAGCACATGAAGAGAGAAGGAAGTATAGTATCTAACTAAATATATAACCAACACAAAAGTAAGACAAACCTTAATATGTAAAATATTAATAATGAAATGAATTTGAATGTGTAAATATTTACAAGGAAACTATACAATATTATAAAAGAGAGAAGTAAAATACCAGATATGTGTGTTAGACGAATTTCAAGAGATATCCAAGAGATGATAAAATAAAAGGACACAGAAATCACGCTATAATTATTTGAAATTGGATAAAAATATTACAAAACACGGAAAAACTTTCAATTTCGAGCTTAACGAGCAAGAAAATCAATAAAATGCATTCAGCAATGAAGTCAAACAGGACAGAGAGTACTCAATGTTAGAAGCATACAAGGGATTATAGATGGGAATGGGATTGCGTAAAATGGAAAGGCGGAGTAAAATGTAATGTGGCGGCGTAATGTCGAGGAGATCTATGTAAAAAATTTTTACAAAAAGTCAAAGCGCAATACATATTTTCATTTTATACTTCTGTTATACACAGTTATTTCTCAAGTACCAGCATTTAATAACACCCCGGAAAAAAAAAACTCTATGAAGAAGAAGAACGAAAATAAATAATGCAAAACATATTTTATGATTAACATAATAGCAAAAGTTTTTGAACTTATACTGCAGAAAAGACATTTGCCAGCCACGTTTGCTGGAGCATTTAGTCTCAAGGTAGTGTCCGACAAAGGAAATTAAGGGATCAACGTCTCGCATTACTGCCGCAGACAAAATAATATTAACATAAATGACTCTGACAACTGCACACCATTGTTGAAGGTGTACTTTCACCATACACCAAGACACGGCACACGCAAAACACTAAAGAAATACTTATACCCCTCTTCCTCCCCGAAACCAACCAACCCATAAGCATACATACTCTATTTTCCTGCAAGTGGTGTTAGTGGTGAGAAAATCAAAATTCGTGCAATTTTCATTTCATTTAAATAGAAAACTACTGCAACTGCAAAAAAAAACAAAAACAAAAACAAAAAATGAAGTTGCAGTAAAATCGATTGCCCTTGATGGGTAATAAAAACAACCGGAGTAACGGACAGAGCCCATAAGCGAACATGAAGAGCAGCTGATAAGGAACAATCGAACAGCCAGCAGTTATCGATTTTTAACTTAATTTGCAGCAGGAAACTTAAATAGTTTCCTGCAAATCGCAGAGCGAAATAATGAACTAAATGAACAAAAAGTTTTTCCTGTGAATAAATCATTTGTGCAAATAATAAATTAAAATAAAGTATGTTTCCATTTATTTTAATGCTTTCAAGCAAGTTGCACATGAATTTCTTAGCGATCATATGTTCAATTGGCACAGCCAGGCACAGAGCAAGCAGACACTTTGTGCGGCTGCAGTACGGCAGCACGGCCGCACCCAACGCACATTTAAGCACACGTTACTGCCATTAGCATGTCTGTCCATCTCACTGTTCGTCATGAATTATGTGTGTTTATGTGTGTTTGAGTGTGTCTGCAAACTAGCAAGCGTGTGCAGAATGTCAATCACATACTGCATATCTGCCCCGCATGTTTTGATAATTTGTTTTTGTCACAACAAAAACAAATTCATATTACAACAATTCATAAGACCGACCGAATCCTTTCAATATTTAGTGTTTTTATTTCGACTATTTGTGTTCTCGCAATCTTGCCCAACCTAAATGCACCCATATTCATATATATTCATGATTTCCAACATAATTACATAATATGGTATATTTATGCGCTCTTTACCTGCAATTACCGTATCTGCCAAACTAAATTTGGTTCCTGTCTTCGGAAAGTCTTTCAGTTTGCGATTAGTCAATATCAATTCTCCGCTAAGATGTGCCTCCTCCAAGATGCGCTCAAGTGAACGCGCCAGCTGCGAATGATGCCCCATACCACCTCCTAAACTCGAATTATGGAGGCGGTTATAAACGGCAGCAGTCGCAGCCATTCTTTTGTAGGCGTGGCAGTGCTCTATAACTGCGTTACCTTTCTATTATAGTTCTTTAAAAAGAATCGATACAGTATTATGTTTCTGTATTGTTGTTGTAATGTTTTGTTTGCGCTTGACTGCATCTATTACATTTTTCTTAACATAACTTTTTAATTAATATTTTATTTATATAAATTATGTAACATTAATTATATTGCATATATACAGCACATTTAACTCTAGTAAAAATTATATTTCCAAGAAATGAATATAATAATTACTTCCATAAAAAAAAAATGAAAATTTCCCCGTCACAATTCCAACACAAAATCAATTAACTTCACCGCAGAAGCAACAATAAACAACTGAAGAATTGATACAAAAAATTTGTGAAAAAATAACAGAATTCCAACCAGAGCTGTAATTTTTTGCGTTTTATACATCAAACATGCTTGACAAGACCAATCATGATTTGCGTTTGCAATGAATGTGCGCTTATATTGTGTGTTTAAGAGTAGATTAAAGTACTGACCTCGAGATTATAGTACTAAACTCGTAGTTTAATCTCAGATTTCCCAACCAAAAGTTAATCTCCTTTTGGTCGAAATTAATTTTAAATCTCCTTCGAAATGGTAATTATTTTTCTGTGCAACTCTGCAAATGTCTTAATATCGTAGATTTTTTTACGATCTTAGAAGAATTTAAAGGAAATGTCAAATTTTCCATTAAATTTGTTTAATGATAATTTTATACATAATTGTAACTAAAATTTGTTAAGTTTTCGTTATAAAACTCTTTATTAAATTTATATAACAATAATTTTTTTGTACAAAGTTGTTATTATATGCTTTATTTACAGAATCACCGATCGCCAAAGCCGGAACACGTATCACATTTATGGTTTTATAATTATTTCCTAAAATATTTCCTAAACACAACTGAATACCACCCTTAATAGTTGAAATAGTCCGTGACATCCGCTGCAGCGGGTCTCACTTATATGTGAGATCTTATATAGGACATCAAGTTCCCAGCATCTGACATATCTTTCCTATTACACAATTTTACAATTGTTAAATATACAAAATTTGCTTGTAAATATAATGTCCAATTCCACAATCTTTGTGTTTCTTTCATATTTAAAAATTCCAACAAAGTATTCCGTTTTTGTATAAGAATCCATAGATTTTGCATACGCAAGCGATGTTTTATTTTTAAACTATGCAACAATTTTTTTTTCTCTGCCGAATTTGAATTTGAGCTTATAATTAAAGCAATCATTTCCTCTTAAGGAAAATTATTATTTAAAACACTATTTTCAATAATTTTTTATGACTAATTGCAATTGAAACTTTTGTCAAACAGACGAAACAAAACATAACAAGAGAAACGTCAAAATTAATCTCCAATGTATAATGTAAACGGTAATGATTAAAAATGCAGATTAACTTAATCTCTTTCTCTTAATCTCTTAATGATTAATTTACAATTAACTTTTTATTTGTTTAAAGGTGGTTATATTATTTGTTTACACTAATGATTTGACCAAATATGACATACGTATTGTACGTAGATGATTACTTATAGACATTAATTTTTTTTCTAATGGTTATCCATTTATTTATTTTATCTTCTCTTACAATGAGAATAACAATAAATTTTAAAACTTTAGCACTTTTATATAATATTTCAATTTTTTATTTTAACTATACATTGTATAATAATCAAATAAAATAATTAAACCTTAAATCAATGGGTAAAATTTCATTGGAGTGAATGTTAATTGATTTATTAAGAAAACAATTGAACTTTATCAGATTACTAAAAAGAAAGGTGCAATTTTTATTTCATGCTATTAAATATTAAATAATGGCTGGACGATCAGCTATCTTTAGGCTGGAAGTAATGGATAGAAGTGCGAGATTCCTTGCTAAGAAGTTCTGTCAGCCTTTTAATTAATTTTACTAAAATAATTTGTATGTTCCAAACACATATATAAATACGTAAATAATTTACTTTTTCCAATAGATTTTCGTCACTTTAATAAAATTTTGAATATCTCATATTATTGTTTTGCAAAGTGTTGGCTTTGAAAGCAAATGTGGCATTGTTAAAATGTAAAATTAAGTGCGTTCAGTGATTGCCAACACTTAGAAATTTAAAAAATTTTCTTTAATTTCTGAGGGTCTATTGCTTAACTGTGCAAACTAATTATTGTGTATACAAAAATTTGCTTTCATTTTGATTTTGCTATTCCTCAACTGTAAATAGTGAGTTTTTCTGTCAAAAAAGTATTCTTTTGTCAATTTTGTAGAGATCATATATGTGTCAGCAAGCGATGGACTCACACTCTACTCGATTTCAGAAATAAATGTAGTGCAAAAATAGGTAGTGACCACTACCCTATTGTAGCAGAAATGAGACTAAAAACCACATCGGTAGCTCGCAAGAATATGTTAAACAATCCATTTTAGAAGAAACAATCCATTAAACTGGAGACTTAAGTCTACACTTGAAGATCTAGAATACGCAGATGACATCGTCCTACTCTCGCATAATCACCAGCATATGCAGTCAAAACTGACCCAGTTACATAACAAATCTTCGAAAGTCGGTCTCAAAATAAATATAAGAAAAACCTGCTTCACAATCGGCAGCAAAGATGTGAATGATGCGGAGAGCTTTACTTACTTGAGAAGTGACCTCTCCATAGACGGAGGTGCAAAACAGGACATAAGCAAACGAATACAAAAAGCAAGAGGAGCTTTCGCAAGGCTACGAAATATGTGGCGTGCACACAACATCTACACAAACACAAAAATAAAAATGTTTAATGCATGCGTTAAGTCTGTCTTATTATACGGATCAGATACTTGGCTTGTAACGGAGGAGACTAAAAACACATTACAAACTTTCATCAACCGCTGCTTACGAAATATTATGAAGATATGGTGGCCAATATCAAATGAAGAACTCTGGAAGCAAACTAACCAAACTTCTAATAATGTTGAAATTCAAAAGAAAAAATATGGGTGGATAGGCCATACCCTGCGAAAATATAGATTCTGTGCAAATACTTTTTTTAAATGATTGATTTACATATTCCACAATTTTCGAAGAAGTAGGGTTGATCTTTGTTATGTGGACTATTATTCGCCCTTCTCCGACTGATAAAATTTTTGGGCTCCCAGGACTCAAAACAAAATACTTAACAGACTGCAACACTCTCGCTTAGTGCCTATTGGCCAGCAGCTTTCTGTTTTTTACCACACTAGCGAGCTACCGAATGCACCTCATCTGAACTAAAAAATAAAAATATAAACCTCTATACTGAATAGATATACAAACACGTGTTAAGTATGTATACCAGATTGTCTGAGTTAATGGCTGGCTGGTTGCTTAGTTGTTAAAACCCTGTGATTCTGTATGTGTATTTATTATTTGATGCTTTCGGCAGCTCGCAAGTGTGGCAAAAAACAGCAAATTGCTGGCTTATAGTTGCTTATATGTACGCAAAACAACAACACTACTTTCTCTGTCTAAGCACCTAGCTGTGAAGTGGCCAAAAATTTTGACCAATAAAGAAAAAAAGTGTTGCCAATGCAATAAGCGAACTATTGTGAACCTTTCAGTTTCAACGAATATTCCGGTCACATTTAAATCAATTAGATCTAATTTTTGAATGAAACAAGGTATGCACAAATTAATTTTGACTGCCGCCACTAATGTTGGTGCGTCGCTTGACGCTTTTCTCTACACACTATCGTCTTTCTGCTGACAGCTAATTATCTGTCTTATGACGTTGACATGTATGGACAGTGGTGTTATATGGGCGCCACATCACTTTCCCTTACCGGTAAATATAGAACTAAGAATGGTTAAATATGAAAGCTGCTTTCAAACGGTCAACGCTGATGTTCCTCAAGCACTGGATACGAACCTTCGTATGGCGGTTGCAGTGGTTTGCAAACCATTGAATTCTTAACAAACACGAACGATGATGCGAACAGATGTTTTTCGAAGAATGTCTTCTGTTTTGCATGATTGGACATACTGGTTATAGAGATTCTGTCTCTTCGGGCGCAAGCTTCTTCATGATTGCATCAACTATGATAATGTTCTCTATAACAATGACAAGATTACTCGCAACCTGCCCCCTGATGTCGCCACCCCTAAAACTCTCCCCGCAGACCTTGTCCAAGTCTTGCGCTATAAACCCTCCCAGTACCTAATCCAAAACTTTAATAAGTGGAACCTTGATGCCCCCATCATCCTTCTTTACAACTGCAGCTTTCGAGACCCTAGACACAAAGTTTAACGCTAGTTGTACCCCCGCGCTTGCGATATAACCGCGTCAATTTCACTACTCCACGCCCATGCTTTCTGGCTTCCCCATGGATTACGCCTATCTGCTCACATCGCTCCTCCTTATAACTGGAATGAAGTTTCCATTTTGCTGTGGAAATCTTCTCCATTCATTCCCAAGCAGTGCTTTTAGTGGTTTCAAGTCGCACACTGTATCTTTCGATGCTTTCCACCTATCGGAAAAAAAATCTTTTCTTTACAGGAGAATCATTCTATGTGTTACCGCATAAAAAAATTTTTTTTTCAAAAACGGGAATTCTGAGAACTCGGTTATAAATCTTCACTAATTCATATCACATTACATGTTTGTGAAAAATATTATTAAGACAATATCCAGAAATTCTCTTTTTCACTATACGTGTTCTCTACTTCTTAGATTACTCAAAAACTCGAAAGTAAACCTTCAGTTCTCGAACTAGAGTTTTTATGAAAGAACCAAACATCCGTAGCTAACATTTGAGGTCATCATATATAATAAAATTAACGGCCAATACCTGCCAATGAGATAATTCAATTTTTAACATTCTTAGTTAATTAGTTTTAGTTATTTTAATTTATACGAATATAAAACAAAAAATGAAAGAAATGTTTATATATACTTTTTGACTTTATTGTCTAATATTAGGCTTGAAGGTTTTAGTCGACATACTGAGAAAGATTTTGCTAAGCAATAGCTTTGTAACCATTCCGGGGTTCAGATAATTTAACAATGGAGCTCAATTTATTGAGCAACGCTTTTTTAACAAAATCATTCTCGGAAAGTTGAACTAAACTTTGATTTTGTTTATGCAAATAAATAATTTTTTTGTGCTGCTAATTAATTAAATCAATATAATATATACTTATGTATATATCATAATTTTTTTTTATTTTTAATTTATTATCTTCTTTTTTATACAAATAAAGCGGTGAACAGCAGCTCTCTAGAACAGTTACAACAACAGAAATATAAACAAAAGTACAACAACAACGACTAAAACCACAAATATGCAGTATATTATTTTGTTATGTTGAGTTTTAATTTAATTTCAATTTTTCATAACATTAAAAATAAACCGTAACTATCTGGCAAAAGATTTAATCAATTTGTATTTATATATATATAGTGTTTATATATTACAAATACATTTTTAACTTTTTGATGAGTTTCCTTTTGTATATATTTATATCACTTTTATAACAAACTTATTATTTTTAATTCATATTTATTTTTAACAGATTAGTTTTTTTTAAGATTAATATATTTCATATTATTTTAGAGAACTATATTGTTTGATAGTTTTAGTTATAAATCGATATTTAGTTGGAAGAAAAGTACTGCACTAATTAAGTCATCATACAAAAAGTAGAAATTTTTACAATTATTTTCATATATGTATAATATTGTTTAAAAAAATTAAATACAGTTTTGTTAAAGCGAGCTTGTTTTTAAATTCGAATTTTTTTCAGTTTTCATTTCATTTATTCTTTCTTTTGTAACAGTTACTTTTTCTTTTAAAAATAATCACAAATAATTGGAACCATAAAATTATTTTTCAATATACAACATACAATAAATAATATATTCTTTAAAAATAATAATTCTTAAATACAAATATTTTCATTTTTATGGTTATGATATTAATAGAATTTAGAGTTTATAAACAAAAAATGATTTTTTTTTCATGTGTTTTACTTTCTACAATTTGCGTTTTAATAAACAGAATTTTCATTTACACTTATTTAATTAAAATAAAAAAAAAAAATTTACATAATTTCTAATATCTTAAAGACATTTTTTAAATTCAGTTTGTATAAAAATTGCAAACTTTAATATGTACATATAAATAATAAATTAAATATAAATATAATTACGATATACTACATATATAGTTTGAATATTACATATTATATTATAGGAAAAGTTCTATCAGTTAATTAAAAAAATTAAAATATATTTTTGAAATAAAAATATATACTTATATTAAATACGTATATATGTATATGATTTGTTCCCAAATAATATATTTTATGCAGAGACCGAAAATAACAGTTATTTTATAAATTTTTATGAAAAAAAGGAGCAACAAAAACTTGTCTTAACTCATATTTAAGTATATAGTTATCATTCTAAAAACTTTCATCCTTAATATTATGCATGCTTTATATATATATGAGAGTTTTAAAATAAAACTCAAAAAATAATAATTATATTTACTTTATATTATATTTATCAAAAATAATTATTATCATGTGCTTTTTATTTTTGTCACGCAAGAATAACTCTTACACTCTGCTTTTTATTTTGAAACGCACAAATAACTGTTATTTTTGCCTTTATTATTTTGACTTTGATTTTGTTATGTATGACTTTTTTTTAAAACAAAATATAATACACGGTGTGTCTGATATTTTTAAAAATGAAAATATAAAATGCATTTTGAATGTAAGGTTGTTGTTTTTGTAAAATAACAGTTATTTGTGCTTTTTAAAATAAAAAGCAGTGTGTAAGAGTTATTTTTGCGTGCAGAAAATAAAAAGCACATGATAATAATTACTTTTGATATATATAATATAAAGCAAATTTAATTATTTTTTGAGTTTTATTTTAAAATACGAATGATAACAGTTATAAAGTGATAATTATTTTTATAATGATAAATGGTAACGGTCCCTCATTTTATGCAATCATTCGTAATTTATAATGTAGAAAGATCAAACGAATCATTATAGTGATATTTATCTATCTGTTTGCCCAGATATTCTTTAAATTATTTTTTTTTAACAGCGATTTTTTGTTAATTCATGCCGATCAAGTCAAAAAATTGAAAAATAACAGACTATATACGCAGAAGTCTTCAATTTAATAAGATCAAAAGTGACACATAAGTGTCATAAAACGCATCGTACTAGTCATATTTTTGGATGGTATCCTGTTCTTGATCTGATCTGTCAAACTCAACACCGCATATATAATCAGTTGCTCTGAAACACCTGTTATTTGATTTGGGACTTATTATACATATTGTATATGTATATATATATATATATATATATATATATATATATATGTATTATATGTATTATATTCACTATATTCACTATATAAAATATATAATATAACCTTTTCAATAATATTTTTGCAGTTTAATTTTACCTAAGCGTGACGGCGCGGTAATAAACTTTTAAACATAATCGAAAATATTGAATAAGAACTACTAAATTTTCTTGAATATTATCAGTTCTTCATTTCTTTTTCAGTATTTATCAATACATTTTTGCTTGTATATTTTACGAGAGCTTAATTACCGTTAATAAAAGCAAAATAAAAAGTCTTTAATACTCCATTTAATAAATATTGCCAATTAATAGATTCATCCATAATCGGAATTAAACTGCATTAATGAAATCATAAGTCAGAAAATATATACTATTATCATAATAACATAATTATAGTGACTACATATCTAATTTATAATATATATATATTATTTATACTATATATATTATTTATACAACATAGTATATATATTTTTTATATACTGTACTATAAATATATAGTACATAAATACATATATATATTATATATACAATATATGTTTTTTTTTAAATGTAAGCGTAATATGTAAGATGAATGTTCTAGTTTTTTGTTATTTGCACACAGTATATATCTTCTTTATTATTATTGTTGTAACAATAAGAAAGATTGTTTATTACCGGGTTAAACTGTGGGTCTAAATTGTTTATGTTACGTGGACTTACAACTTGGAGAGAGTCTAATACTTCTACAATTGTATAAAATCTATTATAGATATTTAATTGTCAGAGTAGACTGTGATCTATAATTGTTTCATTATCTTCTGTAGTATTGGAAGAGAGATCTCTAAGATCAAATAAAAGCCACAATAAATACCAAATACTCTTTAAATAAAATATAGGTTAATAAATTAAAAATCAAATCTGATTTACGTGTTAAATTTCAAAATTATTAACATGCATGTCTGACAATAAGTATACACAAACGTTAATATAATATTATAGTAAAACAATCAAACCAAAAAAAACGGTAGACGATAGATGACACCAACGAATGACTTCTTGTACAGTCCATTAGTGAGAAATCGAAAAACTCGTTAAGTCTTATAAATTCACTAAACAAAGAATTATAACTTTTGGTAAAAGTATAACTTTCGTTTGTTTTCAAATGTTGTCTAGCTATGTTCTATATACTCTCTGCAGGGGATCCTAAAAAATTATAATTTCGGTGATATAAAAGCCTAAATCATTTTCCACAGCATTTTTGTGGAACATTTTAGATGTGATTCGCTAAATCATTGATTTTTCTATTTGAAAAAAAAGAGAGATTTTGTCATTTATTAAATTCAACATTCGTTAAATTGGGAATTCAGTACATTCAGTACATTCAGTACATTACGTCTACGGTAGTTTGAAAATATAAATTAATTATTTCTTAAATTCTGTTACATTATATTTTTTTCTTCTTTCATAACAATTAATTAATCGATAGAATTTATAAATTTTATTATATAAACTGTTAAAAAAACATTTTATCCTGTATTTGGTTTTCCATTAATTAAAAATTACAATTTATAATTTTTAATTTTTAATGGAGGAAATTCTCCATGCACCACAAAAGCATGGCATGTCAATGCTTTTACATGTACACCAACAATGTGCAATATATGAATACTTATTTTTTATATGAAAAAGCACTAAAGCTAGAACACTATACACAAACATTGACTATGTTACTTCAGCAATTTGTTAGTCTACATACAAATTAGATTAAAATCATTACACTAAAATTATTAAATAATATTAATAACTGTTATAATTGAACAAATATTATTGTGAAAACAGTACAAATAACAGTTACAATATCAAAAATTGTTCTAACAATAAACGTTTATAATAACATTAGAAATTTATTTTATATTAATAAAAACAATTATAAATTATTAAAGACTGTTACGATACTATTACCAATTGTTAAAGAAATAATGATAGTAATTACGAAGATATCTAATATTTATAATCGTTATGTTATAATTGTATTAATAACTGCTACAATGATGATAATATCTGTTACAAATTTAATAATAATGACTGATAGATATACTAGCACAAATAACACTTTTCTTAATTTCTACAATAACCGTTTTAATAATAATCATAAAACCTGTTATAAACATTTTGAAATAAGTATTATAAAACATTATTAACATATATTATAAGATAATAAATTTTCAAAACTTAATGCATACGTTACATATATACATAAATACATAAATACATAATAAACTTCTAAAAACATTTATAAAATTTCTAAACATTTTTATCTAGGGAGCAGCAAAGTACATAGTAATAAATAATCTTCAACAGATTGTTTAACTTTTTGTTGATTTGTTTGCATTTGTTTGCGTTAATTTTACATTTAAACATTTGAGTGTACACCCGAACTTCCAGAACCACCAGTGACATTTACTGTCACGGGTGCTGAACTGGACGAACCCGTACGAGTTAACTGAGCAGCAACCATAGGAGTATTAAGTGCGGAAGCTACAGCGGCTACCGTGAAATCACTGGTTGCAGCCTCTAATTTCAACCGCATTTCTTCCTTGCGCGTCTGTACGGATAATAGTTCATCGCTGAGATCATTACACAAACGCAGTAAAAGATTATTTTGTTCGCGTAAATGTCTTAAAATATCGCCCATATTATTATCTGGTTTGAATGAAACATGTCGGAGAGTTTCACTTATTGCATTTACACGTTTTTCATATTGATCAGCATTTGGCAATGTTGTGATTGTTTGTGGCGCATGCTGAGCTATAGCAGCTGCACCTGCAGATCCGAACGGTGCAATTACTGGTGCCACTGGTGCCGCTGGTGCCCCTGGTGGCGGTTGTGATGGATGACGTAGTTGAGCTGCTGCTGCAGCAATGATTGTATCAACTGCTGATTGTGTTGTTACTGTTGGTGATTGTGAATTTCGCGGTGTGTTAGGCTTACGATAAACTTCGAAAGCTGACACACGTTGATTTGATTGTATTGAGAATCTGGAAGGTGGTAAAGCAACAACGGGTTGTATACTTGCTGCAGATGATGTCTGTTGCGGTGGTAAGGAATGTTGCTGTTGCTCGGAAATTTGTTCATTCTGTAAAATAAAATTGATTGTTTAAATGTTTTTTTTTTGTTTTCAAATTACAATTTTGAAGAAAATATTAAACCTTTAATAAACTATAAAATAATTCCAATCACAAATTTTACGCTTAATAGGAACATTCTTACCAAATTCAATTGACGAAAGAGTTTTTGATTTTTGTTGGTAAGGACTTTTGAATTTAAAAATTTTAATCAATTTTTGTTGTTTTATTTTTTGGAGTAATAATAAATTTTAATACTTTTTTTTTTTTTGGTTAAAACAATTATTAAAACACTTGTTCACTTACAACATTTGTTGCGCTTCCATCTGGAAAATGTGTAAAATCAGCAAAACCCGTTGAGGTTTGCAAATCAAAGCTAGTTTGCGCCGTTATCTTCAAATTATTTAAAAAATTTTAAATTATGTGTAAAGAATAGAATAAAACAATAAATTACAACAAAGAAATCAAATAATAGAAATATTAAGCTTTTAACTTAATAAAATACTTACTTCAGGTTGCTGGCCACTGGGTACGTTCATTTTGAATTTATTTAAATCCAAACTGCTGCTGCGACCATGACGATGTGGCCTTGGTGGTGGTAATGGTGGTGGCTCCTTTTTATTAAGCGCTGAATTTTGATGGGGATTGCCATTTGACAAGGACATATCACTTTCACTGTTCCCAGCGCATATTACGTTCGAAGTACCTGTGCTCCCAATACTTGATTCTCGTTGTGGTGGTGGTGGCAGTGCGCCAATATTCTTCGAAGGTAATTTTTTTGCTTGTGGTCGCTGTATGGCACGAAGATCAGTACTTTGTAGTGAATCCCGTAGCTGTGGAATCGAACTAGCTGCAATCGAACTAGCTGGATTAGAGCTATTAATTACATTATTTGTAACACTACTATGTAGAAGCTTTGGACTTGTGTCACGTAGTGCAACGCCTTCGTAAGTTTCATTATTTAAAACGTCACCAGTATTTGTTCCTAAGGCACCAGCTATAGCATGCAAATAATAGATAAATATAAAACTAAAAAGATTGTGCTATTCGCATACTAACCAACTGGAGTTACACGTAATGGCACTGGATGCAATATTTGAGGATCTGAAACAACTGCCTGTGCCGTTCGTTGCATATCAAAGTTAACTGGCTTGGGACCAGGACTAGAAACATTTGATGTCGGAGATTCTGTAAATTTTGTCCATTGATTTGGTGGCACTTCCTTTGAGTTAAAAACACATTTTTGTAATTAATTAGCTTTTAACTTTTTAAAGTACGTTTAATAAAAATATATGAGATAAAAATTGAATGCTCAACGGTAACGAAACCCATTAAATACCCACTGTGGTACTCTATTTAACTTTATTCCTCTCCTCTCTATCAATATTTCAACACACTGTATATGAGTATATGTGCAAGAATCATATTATTTTGTTAATGTGGAAGGATTTTTATTATTACATGCGAAAAACAAATTTACATTGAATATTAAAAAATTTATACTTTAATTGTTTGGACAGTTTAAATTGATGACTGATATATTTAAGGTAAGATATGCACAAATTCTATTGAACTGCGAATTTTATTAGACTCTTTATTCGGTGTCTAAAATGCACCTAATAAAGAAGTATAACTAGCTACTGTCATGCCAATTCTTGTCATTCAATCTTGTCAAAAAGATAAACATCCAAATAGCATCACAACTTGCACAGCTCTACATTGCATACCTATGTCGATTCCTTTTTTCATATCAATAATTCATCAAAACTATTAAAACGTAAATAACTCAGTTACTTCAGTTACGTCAAATATGGACAGCGGTTTTTTGCCCTCCACGCTTAAGTAATCGCTTTTTTGAGAACACAAATGTTACAAAGTTCTCAATAGGCCTCCGTCCAGAACCACTCGATATGATGGATGTTTCTCTCATGTAGCAAAAACTGCTATTTGGTGATTGAACTGGCTAATTGATGTCAGGATGCAGCCTATAAAAACTCTACTCACAAGACGTCACCCATTTATTTTCGTGCACAAATGCGAGCACAACTTTGAGCCCTATTACCCTACTAGGCTTTGAGTAATGTGTTAAGTTGTGTTAAGTTTTCAAGATTTCTTTACCAGGACGCAAGTCACATTCAACCTCATTCCTACTCCTATCTTACACTATCGCACTCTCCTCATACTCTACCATTGTACCAAGATTTTTCATTCTTTTATGTGCCTACTTTTCAGTACAGTTCGAAGTACATGTTGTTGTTGTAACCACCGGGACCTGCTTGTGGAGTCCCTTTGGGAGGTGTTGAACGGTATTTGGTCGTCATAGGTGACGAGTGGCTCCGGGATGTAGACCCGTGCGAAGTACATCAACAACAACAATGTTTGAAAAATATTGGAACAGTGTTTGATGAATGGAATTAAGAACAAAGTCACGTTACAAACATTTTAATTTTTTAAAATTGAAAATGCATCTCATAATTTTTATGTTCTAATTGCGCAAATAATAAATTAAAAGAGTATAAAGGAATTTACGAAAACGCAAACGGAAACACTTAAAAATACGCAATATTTTACACTGCAAGAGGAATAATTTAACATTTAGTAATCTACGAATTGGTCTATGTTATATGATATTATATATTTCAATGGTCATTCATATATAGTAGTTTAGTATAATATAATAATTATACCGTTGTCCATAATGTGCGATCCTTTGTTTTAACCACAACAGTTGAAGTTGGCAAATTCGGAGGTGATGAACTACGTTCAACATTTGGTGAATTTGAAATACTACGGTTTTTAATAGGAGGTAAGGGTGGAGGTGTAAGAGATGAATGATTAATAGTACTTATGCCTTGACGAGAACTAGTACTAGCCTAAATAAAAGAAATTTGAATTATTTAAGTTAACACAAGTACACATATCTGGTTACGTACCTGTGATGAGGTAGATAAAGTGCTGATATTCATGACATTCTTTTCGTTGACAATGCGTGAATTAACTGCCACTGTATTTGTACCAATTATTGTATTGTCTGTATTATCATCATCGTCATCATCGTTAAGATGCAGTAAATCGGCTTCGGGCGGTTCTTGTGTGGTAAGTTGTGAAGCTAATGTGGAATGCTGCAAAGCGCTGGGGTATAGACAAGGTGGTAACATGGCTGGTAGTGGTATGTTATTACGACGCAACACAACTAAGTGCATAGCTGCAGTAAATTCTGCCAAACTTAGCGCTCCATCTCGAGTTACATCACATAGTTGCCAGATGTGTCGTAACTCTTCAACAGGTATGCGTGACTTTTCAAAAAATACTCTATAAATAAATCATAAACGTATCAGTTTAGAAGATATAATAGATAACAACAGATATACCATAAAAGTGTTCTTGTAATATTGAAGGCTCATTTTATCAATTTATTTAAATATAGGAATAAGTAACTAAACATTCCACATAAATATTTCATATATATATACATAAATAAGCAAGAGAATTTATTAATGATATGCGTTGATTACAATATACATATAGTAGATAGTCTGCGTCCACCCACAAAATTTTTCTTAAATTTCGCATAACTTATTTAGTTTTTACTGAAATTAATTTCTGTTTTCTGATTTATTTCAACCAATAAAAAACAACAATAAAGAAGTTCAAACATAAATTATTAACAATTATTTTTTAAAAAAAATTCAACACAACTATATGCAAAAGCAACAGTTTTTGAAGCAGAAAAAGTCTACGGTTATTTCTTAATATTTTGGTTAAAGCGATTCAAATTCACAGAAATCTACAGTTTAATAGCCTGTAGGAAAACCTGTATGTTTATTAAACTCTTCTAAGCGTCTTTGCATGGACTCAAACAGCTTTGCAGTAACCTGTACGTTTATTTTACGAATAAACTTTACATTCTATAGGTTTTTAAACATGTTTAAGAACATATTTTAAATCTGTACCCAGTCTTTTCATGATGCATGGTGCATGCAATCTATTTGTTATTATAAATACTGCATAACGGAACAAAATCTGGTATCTGTTCATATAGTGTCACGAATACTACTTTACTATATTAGTATCCATTATATCATAAATTATATAGAAATATAGACAACATTTTAATGGTATATGCTATCAATAATTGGCACTAGCAAATTGTATTATTTTAAAAATGTACACCAAGCCACCGTATTTTCTATACATTTTGTTTACTTTTTTCAGTATAGATAATTGAAGCTTACCTAGCTGCCTGTCCTGAGAGCAGACCATTTGGATCAAATTGCACAGCCTTAAATTGTTTATAATAATATTCACGTTGCTCAGATGTTATCTGATAAACCGTTTCCAAACCACTTTCATTATCATCATCACTGCTATGACGATCGGATGATTCTTCTTCAGTGCCCAATAATTGTCTATGTTCATCACCAAGCAAACCATGCCAAAGCGTTTCTTTCGCCCAGGGTCGTTCGGCCACACTATTAGTTGGTGTAGGACTATCGCTATTAGTACTCCAAGCTTCCGGAGATCCACGGTTACGGTTCTTTAATCAAAGAGAAGTAATATAAAATGAAAGTAAATAACATGTGTATATATTTATAATAAATAAGCAAATTATTTTAAATGGTGCGGCTACTGCAAAATAATAAAAGCTAATTATTTACAAAAATTTAAATCTAAATAAGGTATGTCTATGTAAATGTGCATGATAACTTAATAATGATATATGTATTTATCCGATACATATTCAAACATTATTTATTTAAGTTGATAAGATAAACAATTTTAAATAGTTTTATGCTCTAAATATTTGGAAATAAAAAAATATTTAAGAAAAATATAGAACTCGTCATTAAGGTATAATTGTTTTCGATTCAGTTACTCATCTGTGCTCAGTTACTTAGTAACAAACACTGTATTGTCAATGTGATGATCTTTCATAAAAATCATAAACATTTTGTTCTAACTTTTAGTATGAAAAAAATTTAGCATCTTCATGATAAGAAATGCTAAAAACAATTAAAAAATACTGAGTTAGATATAAAAAATGTGTTATTGCATAACTTCTTTATATCTTACAAAGTATAGTAAATATTGTACAATAATAAAAACGTAGGGCGAAAGTTTTAAGCGATTATATTAAGGGAAATTCCATAACGATGTGAAATAAGGAAGTAAATAGAAATATTTGCACAAATAGAGTAACAATATCGCACTACTCTTTTCTTTTTCGCTGCTCTTTTGCAGCAACAGGCATTACACTTCTTAACCACTCATCATCATCGTCTATCAAGTGTCGTGTACCACCTCTAAGCTAGTTATACCCACATACTAAGTAGTATATAAGCGGTTAAGTTCGACTTCAAACAAACAATAATATATCAATATTATTCAATTTAATAATGAGAAGCTATAGAACATCTATAGTACTACTAGATCCATCTACCATTGCAATAGATGATCATTTTCACGTACCATTTTAATGTCCTATAAAAAATAGCCTCTACAGCAAAATTTACAGAGAGTGAATTGACTCACTGAATTTTCAGGAAACAACAAAAGTGAAGAGGCACGGAATTTTTCATTATTGGTGGATGGTTGGAGAAATAAATCGCCAAGTTACTCTCATGTATGCTTCGCTCGAAACCCACCTAACGTTCTGCAGGTAGAACTCCTCCCAACAAGAGTGCTTAAGGCTATGAGGCACAAGCCCCCCAATTCCTTGCTCACTATCTTGAGGAAGAGCTTGCCCTTCCTCCACTTATTCCGCTCTACAATCGTGGTTTTCGTAATCCTGAGTGTAGAGTTTATACATAATTAGACCAACCCTCGCAATTTTGCATAATCCCCATCCCTTTTATTAATAATACCAACTCTCCTAACAAAATACGTCTATCTTCGGTTTTGATAAATTTAGCTTGCTATATACTAAGTTCTTCTGCTCTCCTTCTTCTTTCGATTACTGGGATGGAGGTTGCATTCGCTGAACGCGGCTGCAATCTTCCTAAGAGATGGTTTTAGTAAGTTTTAAGTCTCACACTGTAAGAAAATTTTGATGTTTAGGCAATCAAATATTTGGAAATATTTTAAATTTTAGTTTTACAAACAATTAAAAACATTGGTGTTTGAAACGAATGAAAAAATATTTATGTTTTCTGGACGATTTTAGAATATTAACAATACAAAATTAACAATAGACATCAAAAAGTGTATACAAATTAACAAAACACTCTTTTCGATTTCACGATACATCTATAGAGTTCTATATACATGTGGTCGATTAATTTCTAAGCTAGAAAACCTACACTTTTGAGATAAAAAATAAAGTCTCCCGACACTTCAATCTGATCTTGTTTTGGCCAAGGTAATGCAAAGTTACATTCGAAATTTGTAATAAATTTGTGAAAATATAATTTAAAATAACTATCACATAAACTTTGACACGATGGAGGCATTGAAAATGTCGTGAATAAATGAGAAGCATTATTCAATGCAATGCGCACGGAAAATGCACTGCAACTCTATCGCATTTGCTCTTTAGAGATACATATTGGATGACGCATACGAACTGGCAAAGCAACAGCGACCGACTTTTTGGACACATGTATGCACCGGTGCTTATTATACTATTTAGCGTAAGAACTCAACAAAAATGTTTGACTTAACAGCTTAAAAATGTCTACTTAACAGCTTCAAAGAACGTTTTACATCAACGGCAGTGTTTATTTGTATACTCGTACTCAAAGCGCATTGGATGGCAGTGATAATCGTTTTCTGTGCCATTATCAATGATTTCAATCATTAAATATTTTAAAAAATTAAAAACATCAAAATGATTTACTACACATCAAGTCAATCCATAATTTTGATGTTATTAGCAACTAATTTAGTGATCCTGACACAAGACAGTCATAATTGTCATACACTTGTCATATACTTGATGAGATACTGCATGGGATTGCAGGCACTTACCGTTTCCGGAATACTGATTCCAGCACCACCAATTCCACCGCAACTGGACTCATTTTGTTCTACTTCAGAATCAGTGCTTGGAACATCAGAATTAGCAGCTGCATCCAGGTGCTGCTGTTGTTGTTGTTGGTGCTGTTGATTAACAGAATTTCGACGTGAACCGGACGTATTTGAGTCTTGCCAATCAGCACGACGTGGCAAGGAATTTCTTCGATCTGCGACTGGTGGTGGCGGTAGTACGTTAATGCCGTTTTGCTGATTGAATATATTTGATCCCGCATTGGTGTCAATACTGCTCGGCGAGTCTTTCCAACTGAAACGTGGCAATGGGAGCTGCATTGAGGCAGCAATCAATTCCTGACGTAGTGGCATTGAAGCTTGATAGGCAGCAATAAGTTTCAAGCAAGAATAGAATTGTGCACGCGATATATGTAGGGCAGTGGCCGGTATACCGGCAAGTGATGTAATCTAATATGAGAAATTTTACACAATTAAAATACAAATTACAACTGCAAGTTTTGTGTGTTTTGTGCGAGACCTACCTCATCTATCACTTCATTCGGCAGATTTGCAGAATGATATAATTCAGCAGCTTTAAGCATCGGTATTTTGCCTGTTTTTTCTATATCACAACAGAGAAACAAATCGCTATAGTAGCGAGTTTCCGTTTCAGTTAGGGAAACCTCTTCCATGTTGCACTTGTTGATGTGCCGAATAAAGCCAATGTATTTCACCTTTTTGCCACTTCTCAAATTTTTATTTTCTTATAGTCAATGGAAATACCTTTGCACACTAATTTTGTTCCTTGTAGTTTTTTAATTTTTATGTTTTCTACTATTTTTTAGTTTACTTTATTATTTGTTAATTTTCGTTTTTTATTTCGCTTTTACTACATTAGCTGCTCTTCTCGTTGCTCGTTGCGCGTAGCACGTATTTTTCTCTTTATATGCTTATATGCTTATATGCTTAGATGCTTATATGCTTATATGCGAGGCAGGCACAACACAATAGACAGTAGTTGTTTGCAGCGCGGAAGCAGAAAATTTACTTATTTATTTAATATATTTGCTCATTTCTTATTAGGTTTATATAAATGTTTTAAAAATATTTAATTGTTTACTTTTTTTGCTGACTACGTAATCTTTGTTTACCAATTAAAGCCACGTCAAATGATTAACCGGCATAGATACTAATTAACTAAATACTTAAAAAATTGTTTGATATTTAAACATCACAATTTGTTTCCGATCAGATAAATCTTTAAACTGGGTGAGAGTTGATTTAAAAAAAAATTTAAAAGAATAAACTTGCTGGAATACGCTCAATGCAATACACAAGTAGTATAAATAAGAAAAAAAGTAAAATAAAAAATTATAAAAAATGTTTTGAGAAATTCAATTAAACGGTTACGGCTTATTAAATAATATTAATACACAGCTTTTCAATTTATTTATTTACATTACAATTAATGAAAGTGTAGCACTCAACACTTGAATTATGATTTTTATTACGTTCCGAGTGCAACTACTCTGATTCGCACTGTCAACATAAACTCTTATTCATAGAAAAATATACGAGATTGATCAGAGTAATTCTGACGCAATTCCTATAGTTAATATTTTATTTTTGCTAAACTTTTATTTATAAATGAGCACTTTTTTCAAATTAGATTCATATTCGAAACTTCACAAAGTTTTCTATCCATTTCATTTCGTGACTTTTTTCTGCTTTTCCAGGGACTCAATAAAAAACTCTCATATTTTGACATTTAGTTATGCATGTGTCAAAACAGTTTGAAAGCTATTGATTTTATGAACCAAAGTGGCTATATGTGCTGTCAAACTGAGTTGACAGCGTATAGTTACATTCAAAAATATATTTAACGTCATGACCATATAATATATCTTTTTATTATTTATTAATTTTATATATTTTCATCCATATAGGTAATTATATTCAATATGCATTGTATCGTTTTTATTCTTTTACTTTTTTTATTAAACACTTCATATTGAACAACTAACACATTTTTATAAAAACATCACACGTCCTATAAAGTAAGTAAACATAGTATATTGCATATGTCATATTAATAATATTATTAACAATAGTAATCATAAAATATTAAATATTAATATTAATACAATTTTGTGAACAAAAAGCACAATTCTAGTATATCACACACAGCCATGCCTTGGACAATCCTTTACTATTATTTAGCAAACAGTAGAATAAAAATTTCTTATTATAGTTATATTGTAAGTATTTACCTTAACATGATTTCGTAATATAATTTAGCAATTTAGCAAAAAACATTCAATATGTAAATAAAAAAAATTATTTAAACACAAAAAATATACGCTATGATAATGGATTAAAATTATGTTAATTAAATTTTTGAAGTAGATAACTACAAACTTTACAAATATCGTGGGAACTCAACACAATTTATTGCAATTATGAAATAACATAAAACAGTTGTTAATTTCAGAATAGCTTTTTACTCTAACAAAATATTAATTGAATCTGAAAATTGCTTTTAATGTGAATCTTAAGTGAAAAGTTATACCAGATTTACTAATTCAAAACGATTAGCAGTCTGAACCAAAAATCGAGGCTAATAAAATTAAACTACGATTTTAAAAAAATCGAAATTATCCACTAATTTAACAGCATAATTTATAGTAATTCGAGAATATATATATATTTTTTTTTTTTTCTAGAATTACATGAAGCGCGTATTACACATGAAATTTGACACAACACGAAATTTGTGCCGAAATTAATATATAATAGCAACATTTGAAGGTTTGACAAAAAAGTTGGATAGAAATAAAAAAATTTGTTTTTTCCTTAAAACTGCTTGTGTTTTTTCGTATACAGTCTGATTTTTGTCGACTTATATGGAAAATTGATTGATTTTAAGGCATAAAGGCGAAAACATCGTGCATCATGCATGCATGATTTTATTTTCTAGTATATTTCTAGTATGTTCTGATGTGTAATAGCAAACGACGACAAAAAAGTTTGACAAGCAAATCTCATGTGTAATATAAGCTTAAGAGTATAATTCATCTTACAATCGTTCAGTTATTTCGTAACTTAGAGTTCAATAATCTTTAAATTTGTACATCTAAACTTCTTTTAATTTAGAAACCTTTATTTTAAAAAACAGTTTATATTTATTAAATGTTATTAAGAACAGTTGTTACTATTCAAGTTCTATGCCTTAAATTATAATTAACGGTACCGTATGTCCGTGCCAAGTGCTGGTTTACTTCAAGCAACTGAATACTTTTCAAATACACATATAGTTACAAAATATGTCAACACACATACATATGTATGTGAAAGTACAAAAACAAACGGAAAAGTGCTACCAAATCGACTTTAAAATATCATCGTATATATAGCCATATTCTCGAAGTACTGTTTTGCAAAGAAAAGGTTCGACTTATGGAGACTTCGAGTTAGAGAATCTTTTTATTTTTGAAGGACACTAGAATTACATTTGAAGATATTTATTTATTTATTTTAAATTAAATACAGAAAAGAAGTTACAGTGTAAAAGTTCAGAAATGAGTGTTTGGGACTTTAATTTTTTTTCTTATATTCAATAAAAAGAGATTCCAATTTATCAAAGCTTTATAGTGATCATCAGCTGTAGTATCGTTTGTTTGCAAATAAAAATTCAGAATTTTGAATGAGTCTACTTCATTTTTGAAACGCTGAAAAACAATGTCATCCACCAAACCTTTATCATCACTTTCCGGTGCGCTTAGAATCGGATCAAATTTCATTATTAAGCTCAATGTAATCGTTAAGAGTAGCATTAGAAGTTGTTTTATTCGCTTTAAACCACATTTGGTTTGGGAAAAGGGACTTCCCCTAACACCAAAATAGATTCATACTTAAAACAAAAATTCGGTTTATGGAATGCACTTCCCCATATTCCTATTGACACATGACAATATTTTTATTGGAGTAATAGAAGTTCGAGTTATGGAAGTTTGATTGTAGTTACGAAATATGTCAACACACAAATGAGAAAGAACAAAAACAAATGGGTGGGAAAGTACTACAAAATCGACTTTAGAATATCATTGTATATATAACAGGTTTTATTTTAGTACTTTTGGTACTTTTTACATACATATTTCACAGACTTTTGATATGAAATTTATTAAAATAATTCAAATAGTTATAACAATAAAATCTATGGAAAGAGTAATCTATATCATAGATGAATCCCTACTAATTTCAAAATCAAAATAAATGGATTGCTGTCACCATTTATAAGCTTATCAATCAATTATGCCCGCTCAAGTTAATAGCTTTAGGACTGAAGTTTATATGTAGACTGCTGAGTAATATATGTAAATACTAGTGCTTGGGATAAATCGAACCATATTGTATAACAAAATTAAATTATGTCTTTCACTGCTTACTTTTTTCCAATTTAAAAATTTTAAAATTCAATTATTAATCTTTGACTGTTATCTTTAAATTCTAGACAACATATCAACTGCAAGAATCGATGGAACTTATTCTCAAATTGCAACATAATAATAAGTTATATTGACCGGGAACTGAATAATAGTGAATTAGTGCAAAATTTTATAATTTTTTAATTAATTGAATTTTTTGGCTGATCATAAAGCTTCGAGGATTGTCAAATAATTATGACTAGTCTTTGGAAATTAGTCTACACCTACGCATGTTTTTTATCCATTGTGCCAGACATTCACAAAACTTTTATCACAACTTATGGAAATTGCAATTAACTGTTATAATTTTTTAATTGTTATAAATGTATAATATACTATTCTTTTTTAGTTTTCTTTCGCTATAATTGAATTTAAAAATTATATTCAATTGTTATTATACCTATAGTTTTATTGAAGCTTTTATTTGTACTTATACTTTACTTCTAGAACTTGCATCTATACTTATACATGACTATATTAAATTTAGGAATTGCTACCATACGATTTTAAAAATAATGTAGTAATAAAAAAATTATATTTAATAAATTTTAATAAAATTGTATTGTTTATTAATTTATTTCTAAGTTCTTAATTTTAGAATTATATAAAATTAAAAACTATGACAGTATTAAGTTTCTTTTATTACCTTAGAGTTACTAAAATTAAAATTAAAGTTCGCAGAATAGTATTTTCTTTTTATTTATTTTGACATCAATTATTTTGCCAACTGAAATGAATTCTTAAATATATAATTTAAATTAATATATTTATAAAACGGTTAGCCATTTGATTAACTGTACAATACGCCTCCCAAGGCACATAGGAACCTAATTTCTATTATTAAGCTAATCACAATTAAATACATATCGCAAATAATGTTTTAACTAAAGAAATAAACTGAGTCTAGAACATTGTTCAAATCAAAATCACCCTTTTGTGGTAAATGATGCAGCAAACGATTTAAATGTCGCCTTGAGAAATCATCAGTGTTTCCGTTATCTGCGATTTGTCTGTAATAAATGAAAGAAATTGAAATTAATCATATCAATTAAAACAAAAGAGTATTTATTATTTGCAAACATACTTTTCATTGAAACTAAACTTTTTTACAAGAAATTTTGACAAGTCTTCTAGCACTGGTTCGGAATGCAGGGCAACAAACTGTTGTCGGCATATTTTGTTTAAATCCGGTACTGTACAAGCATGTGTCCAAAAGCAGTCGTGTACAGACACAAAAGTTAACCCCTTGCGTTCGCAGTGCAGGGATGTCAACATCATATGTGACGAATCCAGCGAATGTATAAAATTTGGTGGGAAAGCATTTTTTTGCTTCATAACATTAGGACGCTCATACATATCCATCAACATCTTCTCACTAACGCGATAATTTTGACGTATATTCTGTTTAATTTCTTGTCGACTATACGGTTGCACCACTGGCAGCCCTAATGGTGTAGTCCACTCGACATTCTTTCCACAAACACCGGATATGAGACGTGCACATTCTGTAAACCAATCTTGTATTTCTCGAGTGGACGTAAACATTTCACGCAGACTTTCAAATGTTTTTGTAGTCAAATATGTGGAAGCAGGCCACACCCAGTCTTTTGGAAAGTCATCAATATCTTTTAATTGACGTGCTATTTGTAGACGTGCGCCATAACGTGTCACACCATACACAGTTGTCATCACTGTTTGTTTAATGACTTTACGACGCACATAGCCGTCTAGTGCTTGTGCTACTTGCAAGCCATTGTTGGCATCATTTCGACGTGCTTTTTCGACTAATGTTGCTACCGTACTATAAACATCCTGCGGTATACTTGAGGGTGCCAAATTAACGCTAAAAGCGCCTGCTTTATCCCGTCCCAAAGCTGCATAATGCTGTAACCCATTACATGAACCATCCTGATGTATTGGAAATCGGCTTATGTATTCTAGAAAATATATGTGAGAAGTAAATAAAAATATAAGCGTATGGGTTTCACCCTTTATTCACACCTTCTGGATTTGGAGAACGGTAAACTTTTGCAATTTCCATACAACACGCTAATGTCTGCCATGGTTCATCAGAATTTGCCCACCACATTTCACCAGTCAGTGGATTATCAGCTGAGTCCAAAATTTGATCCATAATTTTTTCAGCATAAAGCAAACGCGAATGCACAGAATCTCTTTTCTTCAATCCAGTCAGGTTAATGCAGTGCAATTTAAGCCACACAAAGCCATCGGTACCCAACGGCTTAGGTTGATCAAACACAAGCATCGACCGTGCCAAATCGGAACCCAAGTGATTAAGATGTGGTGGTATTGGATAAACACGACCACGAAAGTCCATATTGTGTGGAAGCCAAAACACTTTATTTCGGTACTAAAATATAGAACAATATAAAACATTTTGATTTTTTCATCTGAGCATATAGTAAATTTACAAAAACGATTAGGAAACTTTTAAAGTTTTACCAAATTCTTAAAGAGTTTGGAACAATGACTTATAATTAACTATGAAAATTCTAAATGTATGTATATTAGGTATACTGTCAGTTGAATAATAAGTAGTATTGACAATAATTAAAATTGGTGTTTCGTCATGAGTATAAAGAGTTTTAAATAACTATTCACAGTGAATACTATATCCTTCATTTGTTGATAAAACAAGATAATCTAAACAATAGCTGTGTAAATGAGTTAAAGAATTTTATTGCGAGAAAGTTAAGTGTGTAATGGACACTAGCTCTATGATGTTTGGAATATAGCTACTTCGTTTCTGTTTCGTCTGCTGGTAACACATGGCCAAAAGTTTAAATTTAGAACTATAGATGTCATTAAATGGTTTGCCTTTCATAAAACAGTAACTAAAACGACGAATATATAGTAGTGTTGGTGCTGAATGAAACGATTGCAGTACAGAAACATTGTTTACATAAACTGCATCGAAGCATTCTGGGTAAAAATATATTCTTCAACTGGTGTGCTAAAACTTAAAATATATCCATTGTACATCCATTATTATATTATCTTACATGATTTGCCAGTGAGAGTCTGTAAAGAGTATCGCACCACAAACTAAACATTTCTGCTTGTTTACGTCGATACATTAATTTTTCTTTAAACAGCTTTGCACGATCAGCGATAGACATATCAATTTCCTTTTGTGGCATTAGTGGTGGTTGAAGAGCACTTGAAGGTCGTGGCACATTCAGTTTATCATCACCACCATCTTGAAAAACCTTTATGATTACATCAAGGATCTAAATGAAGAATATAAAATAAAAAACTATATTGTTGATTGATATAAAAAGTATACATCTGTATTGACACGCCATGGTATGCTAGCAAGTTGATTTAAAGAATCTAAAGACGGGTACATGTGTTGGGGATTTAAGTTATCAATACGCTCCCATTGTTGAACAGCCTAAAAAAATATATAGAAAAATATTAAATAATTAAAGGATACGTTAATACGTTTTTGAAATATACAAACCTGTGAGGGTAAGCGTATCAAATCAGACTTATTTAGTAAATAACCACCGTTATAAGGTGTACTCCAGGGTTGAGGTGGGCATAGCATAGGCACTATATTTGAATCAAATGTTAGGGTTTGTTGTCTTGAGGTACGTAATAATCTATAAAATATGCAAATTTTTTAAATATACATTTAAACAGATAAAATAAAATTAATACGGTACTTGGCTAGCACAGGATGTGGTTTCACTTCTTCCTTCACCAGTCTTCCTTGATTTCTGAAAAGGGTATAAAATGCTGGAAGATAATTGTTATGTTTCGTTCTGGATTGTTGCCGCATTATTTGTGAATCAATTTTAAGATCACGCATTAGTATGTTGTATAAAAATCTTCCCACACCAGTAAGCACATTTATGGACCATTGCATTTCTTTCACATCCATGCTAGGGCCACTACTACGATGTTCGTGTACCAAACGTTGCCAAATTTGTCTTGTGTTTTCATTAGTTTCACCGCTTTCCCATATGTCACAGTATGCACCATAAAGATCTCCAACTTTTTCCAAGATACCATTTTTCTTTTTTTGCTCTATTTGATATCTGTTAGAGAAAAATAATAAATGATGGGTCCTTCATAATGTAAAACAAGAATAAATGCTATTCCAATTAATATAAAAATATGGTTGTAAATAATAATTTTAATAAAATAATAGTAACATAATAAAATATATATGGATGCTAAATAATGAAAACTAACGCGTGACGTATATACACTATAAAACATATTTTTTAGTAGTAATATTTACTCGTATAATTGGATTTAGGATTTTTAGAATTATATTGATTTAATAACCTTTGTTGCACTTTTTGTCCCAATTCCTTATAAAGCTGCCCAACAGTTGGACTATATGTTTCAGAGCCTTCAGCGAGTTTATAAATTTCATCAAGTAATATATCAACATAGTGTGCAGGATCAAGCGCACGCAAATAAGTATAAAAGTTCATGTAACCGTTTGATTTAAAGCGAATTTGCGCCCTTAAAGTATTTAAATCTCGTACAATAGCTGCTGCAATTTGTGTACGCCACGACTTTTCCAATTCCTTAAGTTTTTCACGCTGTAAGAAATAAATAATCAACAAAAGTAATAACAAATACAGAAAAAAAAACTTACGCAGAATTCAGCATTGGCATATTGTTTACTTTTTTCAATTGACGTAATGGTTATTTTACCATCCAATTCTATTTTCAACTGTGAACGTGCCATCTGCTCTAATTGCTCTTTAGTATAACCGCTCTTGCTCTTCATAATTTCATAGCCCTGTTCGTTGTTTGAATTAACATACTCATTTAAAGTGTTCAATAAGGAATTGTCATAACGATATTCAGGTGTAACATATTTAGGTTCAAAATCGGGCTTAACTTGTCTTAAAGCATCTAACACCATATCGCGTTGATCAGCAATGAATTTTGACTGATTCATTATTTGATCCAGAGTGAAATTCTATTAGATTTTAAAAACCGTTTTTTAAATATATTTTATATAATTATAAAGTTTTTACCATATCTGATGCTTTGTTAATGTAATGATTAATTTTATTAACGTTATCTTCAGTTGGTTCCAAACGACCTAAACATTCAAATATAGCTGCAAAGGTTTGTTCATTAAATGATAAGTTGTCTTCCTTTAGAAGGTTGAATATTTGTTGAAAACTATCAAATGCACCCTTTTCAGCATAGCCGTGCAGTAATGTATTATACATATCAATTGTTATTAATGTACTGTTGGGATTTGTTCTTTTAGCTCGTTGTCTATACAATACTATCGTGGATAATGCGGCATTCAACATACCTGACGACACACAAACATGTAAATATGCAGTGATATTAAAGCGTATGGCATACTCCTTTGCCAAACGCTCTTGCTCTTGATTTGATTGAACTTTGGATTTATACCTAAATATAATTAAATAACAAATAATTGATTTTGTTTATACTGATATATGCGTTAAGGTGTTTAAGGAGTTAATAAATATATTACCTCATTCTAGCTTTAGCAGTAGCTGTTGTTTCCTTTGGTTTCGTTTTGCGTTTCTTTTTAACTCCATCTGGCGCCACATAAGGTTCCAATGTTTCAATACGATCAGCAAATTCAGATTCTTCCAATTTAGCTTCTGCAGGATTTCTAAAAAATTTAGATAAAATGATTTAAATTATATTTTAGAATAAACCAATAACAAATTGCTATAGTTGTTTGAACAAAAGATGTGTAATATGCTTTTTGTTATAGCATAAAAGCAGAGAGGAGTCATCGAAGAACTGTAAGTCAGACGTTATGATATAAATAAATCTTTATTTTTTCTGTTAAGTATCTCATTAGATATGTAATACTTGATATGTAGGCAATGGAATATATAATAATATTAACAATTTATATAAATTTGATTTAAAGACTATTTTTACTCATACTAAATCGATACAAAATCTATATTAAAATTCCTGATTAAATCAGGGAATATGAAAATTTTAAAAATTATAAACAGAAAATGTCAAAACAGGCATTTTCGATGGTAAACTATATTACACTATACAATATATTATCTATTGATAATATAGTTTTTGGACAATCGATTTTTGTTCTGCTCATAGCCTGGGTATCACACAAAGTAATTATTAGTTATTATAATTGATATTACTATAACAATTTCGGAAGAGTAAGAAGAATTATGTGTGCTAATTATTGACCACATTTACTTACGTATATGAATCCATAGCAGCGTCAAGTTCACGATTTTCATATTCCATTGTTTCGATAATATCGCGGAAGTTATTAAAACTTTTCAAAATATTTTGTATCTCTTTGGGATTGTTTAAAATTCGTTCAGTGTGTTTATCTTTGCCAAAGAATATTAATGGTTTATCATCATATGTACCAGCTTGCAATATGGAGCTATCCAAAGCCTCCAGATTAATTTTTGAATAATCGCAAGGCTGCTGAGCAAGTGTTGCTGGTATTGTATTTATTTTTGCCTTCAACTCCTGTTTCTTGACTAAACCTGATTTTACCATATGTTGATGTGCAATGAAATCCTGCAATTTTTTGGCTCTTAAACGTTTCACTTTATTTCTACGTTCACTTGCTGACAGGTTTGTTACTGTAAAATATAAAATCGAAATACTAAAAATAAACGCTTTGATATATAGAAAATTAGTTACCTTCCAATAGTTCAACATAGTGAGCATATCGTGGTCTACGCGGCTTTCGCTTTTTCGGCACCGCTTCTGGTTTGGTAGACATTGTAGAATGCGTTCGAGTCACATTGCAACAGCATGACGTCAACTCCGTGGATGTCGCGGGTATAACTAGAATTTTCTCACATAAATATGACCAATATTAAGTATTACAAAGTTACCATTTGCGTTATGCAGCACAGAGACTTGTAATAGTTGATTATTAATAGAGTTTGTACTTCCAACAGTTTGCCAATTTACTGGTACACTGTAGACGCTATTAGTGCTACTGCGGTGCACGCCGAGTCTTAGTAATTTTACATTTTGTGCTGTTATACGATTTATTGCCAACAAACGATACATGTCACTTAATAACTTAAATAGCTTACACTTTTTGGAATAAAATTAAGATACCTTTAATTTTTTCATTTAGTTTTTACTTGCATAATAACCGCGCACTATTACTCCGTTTGATTTGCGGAAAAAGGAAAAAATTGACAGTACACTGAAAGAAATTTAACGTTTTGTATACTCAATAAAACGCCAAACATATGAATTACCCGTGCATATTTTACATATCCTTTTTTTTAATTTATTATAAAATAATATATCATTTTGCAAAATATATAAATATATAAGTCATTCGTTACTCTCATACATAGTTTAAAAGATAATGTGGTTAGTTGCGAGCAACACTTTTTACAGTGTGTTTATTTGTGTCATTTAAACACATGGCTTAAAAATGAATGTGAAATGACATGAAAGTTTTTAGATACTTGGCAACGCTTGGTATAAGTTACTTTTCGGTGATAAACAAGTAACGAGTTATGTTAAAATTTATGTTAGACTGGAGTTGATAGTATTAAATAATCAATTTGGCTTTATTATTATCAAAAAAAAACTATAACCAGTCGTTATCTGACAAAATTTGCCGATGAATTTATACGCAATTAGTTCTTTTTTTTATTTTTCCCTTGATTACTGTAATGATTTTTTCACATTCGATCATTACGATCCAATAGACTCAAGTCTCATACTGACATTCCATCTTTACCGCTCATCAAAAAATTAACCTAAAAAAAAGGTTAAAAAATTAACCTAAATGCTTGATTAATTCAATTTTCAGTTTGAGTTCCTTGCCGTTGTGTTTTCTTATTTTAATTGACCAGTTTAATGTAAAATATTAACTATCCATATCCGTATATCCGTAAATTTTGAATTGTTTCTTATATTTTAGATTTCTTTTTGTATTTAAAATTTTTTCAATTATTTTTTTAGCGCTAAAATTATTTACACAAATCAAAACAAAATTTTGTAAACAAACACAGCTGACATATATGATGCGTTGCCAATTATTTTCACATGGGATCCGTATCATTTTAGCAAAGAAGATCCCTGACCAGACCAAGATCAGAATATTATTATGATATTAATGTAATAGTATTTATCAATATTCTTTCATTCTTTTACGATTGAATTTTTTTAAAAAAATACCTATGACTATTAAAAAGTTGTGCATGTAAAATATAATATAATAAAATTTAATTAAAATGGAATATTTTTCTATTTTTTTTAAATAAATAAGTTCAAATCACTTTTTGCTTTATAAGTACCTTGGAATATATAATAATTATTTATTATTCCAACAATAAAAATGATGAAAAATATATACAACAATAAAATAATTATATTTGAAATATCAAATATAACGTATATAGGCTAAACGTTTGGTTGAAAAAATTACGCTGCTGAGCATTGCATTTTGTGGTGTCATTATTATTACTGATAAAAAGTGCTATCATACAGCAGATGAATAAATTCACACAAATACTTCACTAAATGCGTTCATATAACCGTGTATGTAAACGCATAAAATTAAACAATTAATAAATTTATATGTTTAGATGAATACCTTTATTGTTTTTATATATTTTTATAAAATTTATTTAAATAATGGATAAACATGTTAATAATAAAGCATAATTAAAAGTTATGCTTTTATATATTATCATAATTTTTTTAAATTAAATATTTTATATATAAAAATGTTTAATTATCGTATACATATACACAGCAAAAATTTCTGGATTCACAAACGAGTTGCCTTTACAAAATCTGTTTGAAAATGAAATATCAAATATCTCTCTACAGCAAATGACAAAATAAAACATTAAATTACTTTCCTCTGACTTGCGAACAAAATTTCTTTTTTATGTGTATATATCATGTTTTTGCGAACTACTTCCTCGTTTAGTTAATCGATGTCTACACTGGTTAGAATTTGAACATATTTGTTATATATGAAAAACCAAGGATTTAATATATAAAGAATTAAAATTTACGTTATAATTATTTAATGAAATGAGCATCGGTAATTCGAGCTCTATATGCAGACACACGCTACTCTATAGTAAATTAAAATATTAATATAATTTATTTATTATTTATTTAATTTGTTGAAACCAGGACATCCAAACACAAAAAAAATCGGAATAATAAAATTTGTATGTATATTTTATTTTTCACTTGAAAAGATACTTGTAAAAAAATTTGTGTATATAGTCTTATAAGGTTGTTAACCTATATAGAACAATTTATGGCGGAGAAACAAAGTAAAAAAAAATGCATAAATATTGTGTTTTAAATTTTTATATACACTTCAAAAAAAAAAAAATATATACACATAGCTAATAAAGTCTGCGTTCACCTTACGAATTTTGATATGTGCTGTAGAAACATAACATATGTAAATATATATTTCAAATTAAAATTTTTGTTTACTTTCTGAAGTTGAGAAAAATCAAAAACAAAACTTTTAATTATTCTCTTAAATTTTAAAATAACGAGATAAAAGTCACGCAATAAGTTAATATAGACCCAAAAAAGTCTGCGTTCAGTTATAAAAAAAACTTATAAAATCGGTATAAATAATATAATAAGGTTAAATTTAATGTTTTGTTGGATGGCCACGCTGTTTCAGAACTTCACTCAATCTCTTTAGCATCCGCAAAGCCTTTCTACTTGTTATTACATGCTTACGAATTCTTTTTTCTAATAAATCCCAAAGATACTTAATGGGATTGAGATAAGGTGATTGTGGAGGCATTTTAAGCTGTCTGGAATCGACGTCTAACAATCTCCGCTTTGAGTTTTGGATCAATGTTCTGTTGAAACCAAAACCTTGTGGATAAGCTCAAATTATCTTCGCTTTGCTTTAAATTCCTTTTTAAATTGTTAAAATAGCTCCATTTATTCATTGTCGATTCTATAAACTCCTACTGACCTACACCACCAGCCGTAGCAACACGATTTTGTTTTTCAAGCGTCGCCACACATTTTGACGGCCTTTTATAGCAAAAATGCAGTACTTGCTTTCATCTGAAAATATTGCTTGTTTCCAGAACTCCAAAGGTTTTTTTATGTATTTCTTGCAAATACAACGCAACGCAATCGTATAGTTCACAAGTGAAATATACGGTTTCTTTTTAGGGATGCTACCATGATATCCAGCTTTATGTAATACTTTTTTAGCAGTCTCTGTACAAATACTTTTGATTTACACATTCCACAATTTTCGAAGAAGTAATACGAGAGTTGATCTTTGTCATATGGACTATTTTTCACTCTTTCCGAACTGATAAAATTTTTGGACTCCCACGACGCGGCTTAGATGTCAAAATTTCGGTTTCTTTGAAGTTATCCACTATGAACTGGACTGATGAATACATTTTTCTAATAGCTTCATAAATTTTTCGGAAAGTTTTCCATCTTTCCATCGTTTAATAATTATTTTTCTTTCGTTCATATTGCTTTCTTTTCTCCTGGATTCCATGCTTTGAAATAGTTACTACTTAAAAATCAATTGATCACTGAGCTCGTTAAACGTTCATTTGAAATGCTAAAGAATATAAAGTGAGCAAAAATAAGAACAAACTGCTTAAATATTAACGGTATTATCTAAACCGGGACTGCCAAAAGTACAGCCACAGGCCACTTGCAGCCCGCGTCTAATATACATATGTATGTGCGGCCCTCATATGATTATATGATCATTATTATATTTTCTCTGGGTAGAATTCAAAGTAGGCAAAGTAGGACTTCAACTAAAACGTATTGATTTTATATCCAATAATTATAATAGGAAGGAGCTAATAAAACCAATTGCATAAAATAGATGACGTGATATACAATACGTATGTCATATCTCTAAGTATTAAATTCTTTATTCGAAATATTCTGAAGTTCATCACTACATTAAATTTTCCGTTTCGTGTGCTTTAAAAATGGACGAATGTATCTAAACAATATGTAAATACATTCAAATTTAGAAATTATTATTAAAACTAAATACAAATTCTTAATTGTTTCTATTTCATCTATACAAAAGTGAAAAAAAATGCATTAATTAACTTTTGTAAAGAACTGATAACATCGCCATAGGCGTACGTCTTTTAGGTTTAAATTGAAACAAAAGCAACGCTTATACTCAATTCATTTCAAATAGAATTGAAATTGAAATAGAATAAAATTCTAACATTTCATAGCAAGCGATCCGATCCACAGAAATGATAAATTCCCGCATGCACTCAGCTAGGCGATCAGATCAGCTCTCATCGAGATTGCCTATGTGTTGCATGTGTTGCACGCAGTATGCTGGCGCAAAACTGCATATATACATATATGTACATATCTTTATAGAGTACGAGTACGAGTGCATCTTCCTCAACTTCTTGTTTCTGCAGTTTTCTTTTTGTGTATATTTTCCCTATTTTTGAATTTCATTCATTGTTTGCTTTACTCCCTCCCGTAAATGAAACAGTAGAAACTCAATTTTGAGACCGTACAAGATTTAGCAGATCATTCGGTCGCTTGACATTAAACTGAAAACATCGTCGTTTCGGTTAGATCTGAACGTTCTGATTTTCATTATCTTTGCTTGTTATTAGAATCAAAGATTTTTTTTTAAAGTATAATATATAAAAAATATTTCATATTTGTGTGAATAATATTGTGTGTGTTAGTATCTAAGAACGAAAAAAATAATTCTTATACATATGAACTGTTCGAACTCAATACAAGCACATATCCATTAGTAATTGAGTATTAAAATATTTACAAGATATCTTCAAAATCAAAAACTGTTTTCTAGTAAGACTGCTACTGCATATGGGATGTAGTATTGAATATAAACTGAATCTTCGAATATATTAAGCGAGAGATAAAAGCTGCAACTACAAAAGCCATCAAATTAAGGACATAGTACAAGGTAAGAAAATAATATCTGGTATTATATGTTATAGGCACTGCGAGGGCCAAAATCTCAAGTCAGGCTTACTAGCTTGAAGATGAATACAACAGATCAATTGCTTATTAATTCTCGATATTAAAAATTTATTTATTTATTATTAAATACTTTATTGGTCTATATTATTTATAGATAAAGTTTCACAATAGCTTTAATAATGAATTCATATTATTAGAAAGTTTTTTTAGGGTACATAGGATACATTGAACTTAATTAAACTGATTTTGTTCTTGGAATCCAATGTAATATTTTATAAATTTGACTATATTAACTATAGTTCTTACTTCATATCGAAAAAGTCAAGAGTAATAAAGACCGTTCTAAAAGGACACTAGATTATCCGCGTGCGGTGTACATTGCAATAAGGCTTATTCGCTAAAAAAATCTATTGGATCAAACCTGAAGCGGACTTTTATGTCTACATGAAATTCTAATATCTGCTTGTTATGTAATTTACATGAAGCAGAAGAGCAACAACATTTCATGGAAAGATGCCCAGTACTCAAAGAGCTTCGATGTAGATATTTTTAAAAGGCCAGTCTGCGTGATTGATGTATTAAACAGTTTAAACGATGTGAAATGGGAATGTACAGAAGCTTTTTCATTGAGAAATTTAATTATTATTAATATCCGACAGATGGTTCTTACAACTGCGTAATATTATGTTCTAAAATCTAGGAATGCCATTATTTTATCTATAACTTTAAAGTACAAATAAATATTATTATTGTATGATGGGTGTATAAAAGTGTAAGAGGATCTTAATATGATCTGAAAAAATATTATGAATTTAAAATCTCATTGTAATCAAAATTCAACTCCAATATTATAACTCCATCGTATATAGTACGCGGCAATATTCGACGTAACAAAAGATATTCATTTTTTTACTCGAACGGCTCGAGCGTTATTCGTATTCTTCCAACTCCTTATCGGTACTGACATACCGATTTAACTTTGACTATATTTCTCTATTTTTATACATTAATTCGCCCAATTTTTTCTTTAATTTAACAGGTATATTTTTCTCATTTTAACATTCTGGCAATCTTAATGCGTGATCAGTATACAAACCGCCGTTTATCACCCCCCAAAGCTGTAATTCTTCGCCACTTTTACGAAGTTCTGTCTCTAGCTTTACTTTTGATCTCTATCGGACTATCTAAGTCACTAACCTTATCGGGAATCAATTGCTCTAGTTCAATCGAAATAAAAAGATCTTTGTCGTGCGTCCTTCTCATCTATTTTTTTTCTGACTTCTGAGTTAACCTTCCTGTTAGGGGTGGTCTGTTATTTTTAGTTTTCGGTCTGACACCTCTTGCCTGACTTCTAGAATCTTCGTTTACATCAACTTCATTAGTCACAGCACCCATATTAATCACTGCAAGCAAAGACTACAGTGCGATTCTTACAAAGAGCTTAATTCTTAATTAATATAACAATTATATGAACTAATTTCACTAAACTCGACTAAAAACGACCCAATTCAAGACAATCAGAACGAAACAAGAAGATAAAACTATTCAAATAAACAAGAACTTCTTAATAATAATAATTAAAAAATCAAGAAAAATTATTTGATACAAAATGATGATTGGTGATTGGCTTTAAGGTGGTTACGACTGTTTGAGTGACAGGTATGTGTGGAGGAGCGGTTTGTGATTGAATTATGCTGAATCGAAGAATAGTCAAGCGAGCGAGTTTGACAACAGTGTGGTCCACTTTTGGCTTGTTTTTGGTACAATATGGGGGAAGCGTCAATTTCTAAAGGTACGGATATCTGTACAGAATATTTAAAGCTTTCGATTTGTTGTATTTGTCTTTAGAAATTGATGTAATTTTAATATTGACTAGAAGGCTAATAAGTAAGACGGACATTTAAATTTATCTTAGGATAAAAGGCGTTATTGTGACATAACAAAAGTACCACCCCAATGCCGGCGAGCATACCAAACTTCCTACCGTGCCAGCAACAGCTATAAGCAACACACAAGTGCAAGAACTGGTTTAGGTCGTATTTTTGCCTTTGTATGCCTTTGTATAATAAATATAAATAGCTCTGATTTTAATTATATAATTTTTTTATAGTTTATGTTACCTTCTCCAACTTTCAATATTTTTTAAATTTTTTAACTACATTACGCTAATGTAACAAATATTTTTTCTGAATACGCTTACACTCGTATATGTATATGATATCGCTGGAATTGGTATCTTTTTCATTCTAAGTTTCTGTTCCTTATAAAACTTCTTCTTAAAGTACTTTGAACAACATTTCTGATTCCATGTATGTAATTTGTAGTTCGTATGTTTGAAATGGTTTCTCCGGTTCTGCTACAACTACATTTATAAACATCAATAAAAATTTCATAATTTTTAATGTCGAAACGTGAAGGGGTATGAATGAAAGGTAATGGGTGCCAACTGATACAAACCCTTCTGATGCTGCAACACGAGCTAAAAGAGTGCCTTTAAAATAAACAACGACAACATTTGGTTAGAAGGGCTAACATTCTTAAATCAAGAACAAAAGAGTTGGCCAATAGCTCCATTTTCATTTCATACTGACACGCCAGAAGAAGAGATTATGACATCGATACTACTGCAATATCAGGTCAGTAAAACCTTGATTCAGTTTAATTGTTTCAGTTCCTTTCTTAGGCTCAAACGTATGGTTTCTTGGTTCCTGGTTTTTTGATTACTTACAAACCGCAGAACTGATTTTATTTTAATCAACAGCTTTTGATTCCCCTGAATTTGCTTTACCCTTAACACATCTTTTTTGCATATACTGGATCTGTCATCAATCATTTATCATTTAATAAATCAAATCCATTCCGATTTTGCGAAGTATAGTCTTGAAAGAATACTTCTATTGATAATAAATTTTACAAATGTCGTTTTTCTTTTTTTAATTTTGCTTCATATGTTATAATAAAATATATGACTATGGCATATCGATCTCTATTTATATTTAAAACACCGAATGGATATTTTTACAAATCTTTACATCTTAGGTATAATGAAAATTCGTACAAATAAGTTTCTTACACATACAATTCTTGCAGAAACGGTGGGCTTTATCATATCTGACAAAATTATTTAAATTTTTAAGATTATTTATGACAATTTAATCTTAACTATAATCTTCTTTGTGATACAATCAACAAATTTATGAAAAAGCAGCGATTTAGATGGGTTGGACATGTGATAAGAATGCCGGATATGAGCGTACCGCAGTAGGAATCTGCAGAAAAAGTGGGCGACCAAGAAATCATAAGAAATTGAAAAATAAAAGCAAAAAACAGAGAAGAACGGAATACTGTTGTTAAACAGGCTTAGGTCCTACATGGGTTGTATAGTCACGGATGATGATAATCTTTTTTATATTTCTTTTTATTTTAATTCTAGTCATTTAGTGCTTTTTCTTATTTATTTTCAAGAAAAAATCTTCTTAATTTTAGTTCTGGTGTTAAAATTTTTGGTTACATATAAGTGGTTACGTATAAGTGATAATTAATTTTTGTTACATTATTTGAACTATAAAATCAGTGAAAATCAGTTATTTACTTATTCCTTTACGGTAATCTTCAGATCTGACTCTGTCGACATAAACCCTCTTTCTTTGAAACCCATATTGCAGTAACCATTTTTCAAAATATTGATTTCTTGATATTGATATTGAACGTTGATTTCTTCGGGACTATAATATTGATCAGTCTTGTTGAAACCAATAGTCGCTTAAAGCATGAAATCCGCACATGGAAAAATAAATCCTTGGCCATGACAATGTTCCTATTATTACATTCCGATTTTCTTGACTTTTAAACAAGTACTGTCTTTATTACAAATGTGACAATTTTTTCGTTAATAAAGGTAATGTGATAGAAGTGAGTTTATAACCTCATTACTCTATATGATGGGCTAAATCACAACCCGGGGCGCCACTTATTAATAAAGTTGTCTCAGCGGAACGGGTTGAATAGCATTGAAGAATTGCGAATATTTTCGAGTTTTTCTCTCTAGATCACTGGTATTCAATTAAATTGATTGCAAATTGACATGAAGAGATTTACCTGACGATAAATGTCACATATATGACACACCATAACATTGATAGGGAATAAGTTAAGATATATAAGTGTACCATATTACGTTAATAAAGTTAACAGTGAAAATGAGAAAATCCTAATTTTATTAAATTTTCAACAAATTTCCTTTTAGTCTCAATTTCAATTTTTTTAATTTCAAAAAGAAATCGTTCAACTTGAGAGCCTATACTTATAATTTTGTGATCCACCTAGTTTTATAGTGAACACTTGAAATCTTCAGTCGCTAGAATGATGTAAACAAAAGTCAATAGGTCTATCGCAAAACTTAGTTTCCATAATGATGCTATCATATCAGTATTTTTTAACCGACACATCAGAAATGCGCCATTATCTTGTTATATATAATAATTTCATTTCTTCTCTTTACTAGTAAAAATACAAGTAAATAGAACATTTTTTTGAGAATTATTTATTAATTCATAATTACAGAATTATTTTATTATTATTTTTTAACTTAGTGGCAGGCATTTGGCCTTTTCGCCTTTTTTGAAATAATTGTCTAGATGTTTGATAAGAGTTTTATGAGTGTGGAAAACTAACAAAAACATGAGTTCAGTTCTACATAGTGAACACAGCTTATCTGTGTGCGGCTATTGCTGCTTTGATCTGGTGTTCTAAGGAAATGTTTACCTTAGAACATTAACTGGTCTTATCTCTTGAAATGAAATGATTTGTTCTTATATCATAGATTTGATCTTTTCTGACAAATTAGCAACCCCACATTCTCAGGTAGATTTGCTCGCAAGATACTAACCTATGGATTGTTTCAAATTGAATGGGTTATCTTTAGTGTATTATGGACATTTTTATGTTAAAGCATATTGTGCTATTTTGTGTTAATATTAAAGAATCTTGACACAAAAAAAATCTGCATGACATGTCTTATATATGGGTTCTAATATTTCGAAATAAGTTTTTTCAGAGGTGTGCCAAAATATTTTTACTTTCAATAGACGTGATGTCTTATATTTGTTTAAAGTAGTTCTACAAATGATCAGCGTCTTTTTCTGCCAAATTATTTAAATACTTTTTTCATTGGCTATGAAAATTGTCGATGGAAAGACAGTGTACAGCAAGACTTTGAACTAATAAATCCTGTTGTTAAGAAGAAAAGATTGTTGTTAAATAAGTTTAGCTCCTACATGGACTGTATAGTCACGGATGATGATGATGTAAATCGTCGATATGGTGGAATTTTTTGTATTAATGCAATAAAACCATGGTTGAAATAAAGTCTCGATTAGATTAAATAGTTCACAATAGCAGTTAAATTAAAAATATTTTGGATGACAAAAAAATTTACCCCAACTGAAGAAAATATTGAAACGTGTATTAAGCACAATTGGATCACAGTCATTTGATCGCATTTGGAGAATATTTTATAATTATATATGGTACGAATTTATATGATGTTCTAGAAAAACGATTTAATAAAAAATAGTTAGACTTAGCACTTTTATTAACAACTGTCTAAGTATCAAAGTGTAGTCATACACCACATCACTCCGGGACATAAAAATAATCAAAATATTTTAAAGTCGAGTTGATTATTTACCAGCTTTAACCCGTAGTGCAAATTTTTTGTGAAATAAAAAGTTAGTTATTTTGAAGACAACTACACTATGCATTATTTATAGCAGTGGTTCTCAACCGGTGGTCCGCGCACTACAGTTGGCCACAGTGGAGATGGTTAAAAATGGTCCGTGAATCAAATTTAACGAATATGGATACACGTTAAATGGAATTATCTCGAATAAACAACTATAACAAATTTGGAAACATTTTTTTTCATATTAGTTGAAACACTTTTCGAATATAGTACCCCTTCCCTAATACGTTATCAAAAGAAAGTTTGCTGATTTCTTTCATTTCACACATATTAACTCAATGAAATACTATAATACTTGTGAATCGAAGGTGTCAAGCGTTAGCATTATATTAATAGTTCGCTGATTCAGACACATGTTTTCATTAACTATTGTTTTTTGATGTATTTAATTAAGTTTTATTTATTGAATGTCTCTATCGTCCATACCAAAAACTTCTCCAACTTTGAAAGCTCCCGAAATATAAGCGTGAACAAAAAATTTTACGACCATTAAGACTGCAATGTAAATACCAAATTTTGTGTAAAGGGTGGTAGACTTGCTAGACTCCGGCAAAGTCAAAGCTAACATCTTCACTTGTTTTTCTTATTATTATTATTGAAAAAGAAGGTTTAGTACACTGCGACCCAAAGTATCTATTGTGCCCCTTAGTCAGATTAAAGTGTTTCTTCAAGGCCGATTTCTTTAATGAAACACAGTACAGAGCCTATCTTTTCTAGTTTTGAATCCTTATGATCAATGAAATACCCTCCTTGATGTTTCTTCCGCTTGTGCAGCAGTGCCGGGTACTCCCCAAAAGCAATGATATGTAGTTTCTTTCTCTTCTCTACTTCGAATCACTTCGATAATTCCACAATATTTCTTAGATTATTTTTTGAATGTGCTATGCAATCTTTGAAGCGTTTAGGTTGTAAGTACCTAAAAGCATTTTAGATTGTGATAGTCTTGGTAGCATTTCTCAAGTAGCTTTTGTTTTCTTTAATTTTATATATATATATATTGGCAATGTAGTCCAAAATCCAATGTCGGACTAACAGAATTCGTTTGGGCGATTACTAGTACCGAATTCTTATCTTAATAAGTTGATATCTTAATAAGTACCTTAATAAGCATAATCAGGAGTGTAAAGTTTTGAGTGAGGTTTCAAAGTTTTGCCAAATTTAATTTGAAGATTTTTAAAAATAAATTTTTTAACAATAAAAAAAAAATTCTTATCTCCGAAAAGTTTTGGTTACTCGTAACCCAATTGCGATGTCGAACCTAAATTAAATATAATATTACAAAAATAGAAAGTGGAGCAATTTTAATATTCGCCATCTAAATTTTTTATTATAATTGCAAAAAAAAACGAATTTGGAAGACTCAGGACCGCGAGTGCAGTTATGCATTTTTAAACAGAATAATTAAAATTTTCTGATACATTTTGTTAAACAATTCAAAAAAAAAAAAACAAAAATAATTTATTTTGATTTTTTTAATAAAATTTGAGATAGAATGCAATATTGCATTGCCCTGGATAATTTCAAATTTGTTTATTTAATTCAGTTTTTATTAATTTTAACGGAAAACTTGTAAATATTGAAATTTACATAATTGGTTTCGTTCTCTTCATTGGCGATTGTTGATTGAATTAATATATAAAATTATAATCTTTATAAATATATATATATATTTAACCCACTAGTGCACTCACTGACGAAATGACTGACGAATTATCAATTATAATTAGATGATTTGTGCTTTTCTAGCTCTTGCTGACACATGAAATTTTAAAGATTTTCTAGACAAAAATAATGAAGATTTTGCCAATGTTGACGTCATCGCTAAACTAATCTCAGATAAATATCTGTCAACTATAAATGAGCTTACAGAATCGATACTTAGCGTAAGCTTCTAAGACTACATTTGTTCTAGATAGTCTATAAGAGTCTAGATATTTATAGGTTGTCCACGACTCTAAACTAGATTGGAGAAGTATTGAGAATACTCCTCCAATTACCTGAATAGGTAACCAGAAGACGCTATGTATTGGATCCAATACCTGAGGATAAATACACTAAATGTTTTTTTTGTACTAATTTTCGAATTGTCTAGATTGGATTGCTTTTAATGAAGAATTGGTCTTATAGGCAAACGAATTTTTTTTTTTGCAAATTTATAATCTTCTGTAAATAGTCCTACTCTATAATATACAAGGTAAAAACTTCATTAGACAATTTCTCAATATATTAGAAATAATCGATTGCTTGTGATGATAAGTGGTATGCACTGAAAAAAAGAAAAAGTATTTAATAATTCTCATTTATCGACAGTTGTATAAATAGTTGCTCCGAATATCTTAATGCAAACTTTAATAGAAATCAAATGCTTTTAAAATAAATCGATTAATAATTTAATTGATTCTATAATTTAAATTTCTTTCTATTTTTCTTTCCATTTATATCTTTCTATTTGCAGATACTCAATAAATAGCACGTTGTAGCGCTAACGTCTTAAATAGTAATCTGCAATATGCGACAACAACTTGGAATACTTCTAACGACATTAATTATCTTTGGGCTAATGGAATTGACGCCAGCGGATGTGTAAGTATCTGAAACAAAAACTCCTCGTACAAAAGATCGAACAGAGAAAATTCATTTATTATTCAATCAAAATACATTCGCATATGTTGCATACAAATTGAATATTTTTAAATTCAATTGCATAACACAAAATCGTAGCATCCATCATAATAGGTGCCTCTGAACATGCATTGCATTAGTGCCTTGCCAGTAGATCAAAAGAAAGAACTCATTAATTTACATCTATGAGGCGGGTAATCTAAAAATAAATAGAGTAACACATCATAATGACAGTGATGCTCTCCATTTTGCGCACAGAAGAACACTCTTTCTTCTAAGCATTTATGGGCCCATAAAATTCGTCTCGGCCAAAAACGTTCTTCCTTCTTTTTCACTCTGCACTTCAAATCACTTTACTGCGGTAAGACTCCAGTCCACTTATACTGACTGCACTGCCTAATTGTTTATTTTTACTTAATTCTCAGCACATAATGCACATAATGCACATAATGCACATAATTATGGGTATTAATTCATCAGCGAGTGTTAAAATTTATTCAAGCAGAAGAATCATATATAATGTCACATATATAATGGGCTGGGCACATGCCTGTGTATTATGTTTATCTAAAATTGCTGTTATGACCCTGACTCTTGTCGCAATCAGGCTGCTGTGAGCCATAAAGTTGCACTATACTGTAAAGTATTTTAAGAACGTTTCGGGTAGTTGAAAGTTGAAAGAAAGGAGAACATCGCACAACTACATGCCAAACCATTAATTTATGCGTTCTCCTACCGAGCTTGTCAAATCGCTCTGATCTATTTGTCATCATGACTGATATGTCATCTTGTATTTCCTCTGTCAATTTTTCAAAATTAAATACATTTTATGGCATATATCTTAACACAAATACATCTCACAAATGTATCTCATCAATTCTTGGATTTGAATAATTTGAATGCGTGTATGTTTTGTACTCAATCTATTTAATTAAACAACACCATGTGTGGCACAAATAGTTTCTTCAGATATGCGACATGACTTGCAAGACTCAAAAGTTTTTTTTAAACAGACGATATATAGTTGTAAGATAATTAAAATCTATTAAGTAACAATGCGTGCAAATCGTTATATATACATATATGTAATCTTAGTTGTTTTTACGTACCTATGTACTATGAACATAAGAATACGTGTTTTTTTATTTTTAAATTTATAATGGACGCTAAATTTTATTCCAATTATAGCATGTTCCATTTTATTTTGAAATGCAATTTCCCTTCCTATTTTAGAGGTACTCGTATAAACATTTTTTTAAAACTGGGATTGCCAAGTCTTTAGACCTTTTTACATACAATTTTATTATTCTTCGTCTCTTTCTTCTTCATTCTATTGCGTTCCCAGGGGAACATTGGGCCATGTGGTTACAGTTGTACGTAACGAAGAGATTCTGTTTAAACGTGAGCTTTGCATCTCACGTTTAGACTCATGTTTTATTTCCAGAAAATAGTTAAAGAAGGAAGAAAAGCCCTGACGATGGATTAGAATTGCAATGTCAATCTTGTAAGCATTGTACGTAGTGACAGGTTACTTTTAAATAAGGCGCTCCTAACTTGGAGCACATACGCCTTTTGCAGCCGCTCATTATGAGTACCGACGCTATGTTGTGGTCTGCACTTAGCTTTATTACTTCTCTATCGGCCCTACCGGCAAGGGGGGCGCTACCAGTAGCATGCTACCGCTGGTATCGCTCGAAAATTCTAAGTAGCTATTGAGCCTCCTCACCACGTCCAGGTGGCAGTCCCCGAGGAGGCAATTCTTATGAGAACTTATGAGACTTTGCATAACGTAAATAATAGTATTAAACTTTTATTTACAAATTATGACGATATCAAAATTTTGATTTATACACTACATACGTTCTTCCATAATTTGTAGGTTTATGTGTAGGTTTTATTCTGGAGTTGGTTATGGAAAGCCAACTCTTTTTATGTGGGCAACATAATGGTAATTTCGCAATCTATGATATTTCGCTATTTGTTGGTGGTTTAAACTTTCAATCCAATCGTCCAACCAAAAAAATCAATCGTCCTCAAAAAAGTAAATCATCCCATTCGACAAATTACCTCTGCATAAACAAAGAAATACAAAGTCTTTAAGATTTGATTTCAAAAGTGTGCTACTCTATCCTACTTACTGGAAGGTATATTCACTTACATCCAACAACTGACATAGTAGAAATATTTAATTCAACCCCCTTAAATGCAGAATTTCTCCCAAGCTATAGCATTTGCACTACATTCGCATATCTATTTAGAAGAAGGTAAACTTGTATACTTTTTGCAGATCTGAGCTCAATTATTGCTTAGTCTGATGAAGTGATGAACAATAACCCAGTCAAGGCGTAGAGATGGGTTATGCAGAAACCACGCAGTTAATAGAGAGTAAAAGTGCTCAAGTGCACTGACTCAACTAGCCTCAACATAATGATATATTTATTATTGCTTTTGTTCTAAACGTCTATGAAGTGTGATAGTTAAATTTAAATCGAGTATTAATATTTAAGTAAATTTAAGTCTAATGCGAAAATATAAATTCTATTACATAAATACAATATAACTAACTCTTATAACTCTTATTTTGAAGAGATCTACGTGGTACATTGCAATCCTTAGTATATTCATACAATCAGTTGGACAACAAATTGGAACGACACGAACACCGTGATCGTGCTGCCAGTGATATTCTGAAGAGAGGAATTCAAACTCTGCTGAAGGGTCAAAAAGATTTAGAACCTATTAATGGCATATTCAGCCGTTTAGATGAACGAGTTAGTCAGATTGAAACACTACTAATAACTGTTAGTCATCACAATACATTTTAAATTTAGTTAAAATAAATTTCGTTTTTTCTCTTAGCAAGAAGAAAAATACAATGCACAAACTCAGAAACTTAGTGAAGCACTGGAACATATGTTTAAGTGGATGCGGGAAAATGATGAATGTTATAAACGACCACCAGTACCACTAAACGCTGTCCAACCAACAAGCCCTACTGTTAGTCGTCATAATAGAATTTTTAATTTAATTGAAATACATTTAATTTTCCACTCTTAGCTAGAAGAAAAATACAATGCACAAACTCAGAAGCTTAATGAAGCACTGGAACACATGTTTAAGTGGATGCGGGAAAATAGTGAATGTTATAAACGACCGCCAGTTGTACCGGTTGTACCAACCAATACAAAATTATCTGACGATTTCATTAAAAAACAAGAAGCAATAAATTCAGAAATGCTAGCACAAATTAAAAAGCTTACCGATAATGTGGAGCGTTTGTTAGATAATTCAAAGAACATGATGGAACACACTGAAGTTGCCTTTAGAAGCGTTCCTTCCACTGCAGAAATGCTGACAAAAATTGAAGACAAATTAATTAGTTACAGTGTAGCACCAGTTACGCCTATTATAGAGCCCATAGATAACAAAGAGTTCGAAAACAAGGTTATCGAAAAACTGAGTGACTTGGCCACTGGAATCGCCGATTTACAAACGTTACCAACGCCACAGGAGGCATTAACACAGGCTGATAAAGATTTCATACATGGTTTGAATAACGAAACATTAAATGCGCTTGAACATATCAAAGTTAACACCCTTAGTGCATCAGATGAAGGTAATTCTTATGACTATTAATAAATTATTGTTTAAAGTAATCACCACTAAAGTATAGCTATAGAAATATCGGTAAGTAGTGCCTTGCTTTGTAATTTTCCGCTTAGTCTGCATAAAGCGAAATTTATATGACCGTTAAGTTAATCCGGCTCTACCAATTAGGTTAGGTTATACCGTCAATCCCAGGCGGACCCACTTAGGCCTATAGACTCATTGTGCTACTGCATTATTAAAAACCTAAGGAATAAAACCATCTAGAACCTTTAGCAAAGCGTATGATGCTATTTAAAGGGAGGTCTTGAAATTCGCTAAGATTCTCAAAAAAGAAAGTCCCTAAAATGTGAAGGCGGTGCCACGCACGTGCCGGACAGAAACAAAACAGGTGGGAGACACTTTCTTCATCCTCACCACAACAGCTGCAAAGAAAAATGTTTTAGTTCTTCAGAAATAATCACGTTGCAGCTACTCACCCTTACTATTAACTGCAAAACCTTTGATTAGGTCTAAATTAGGAAATAAACCAACAATTTTTTTAACAGTTGTCGGAGTAACATTTTTTTGAACCACTGTCTTAGTTATTGCAGCCAAGTTTCCACGCTGCTGTCCAAATTAACTTTATTTATCTAAATTATATATATCAATTTCCACTACATTGCTACCGATGACCTTCAACAGCTCTTCAATTTCAGCCTGTTTGTTACTTGAGGTTTGCAGTCCATAATCTCTCAGAGCACTATTCATCTTAGCACCATTAGACGACATCCTTAACAATTCTTTCGCTTCTCTGAAAATAATCTGTACTCCATTGTGGACCAGTATTCGAGTTCGAGATTTCAAGATTTTCGACCTTATTTCGTTTTTACCCAAACTAAAAACTATTAACCAACTGTCCAAAACTCACGACTTACTAGGGTTGTTTCGTGCATGAGCTCTGATCTTATTACTTCAGAATTGCTATTTTATGTTATGTGTTTTAACCTTTAATATGTTTCATTGCAGCCCTTGCTAAAACGACTTCCCGTATCAAGGAAACAGAAGAACATTTGGAAAATAATATGAACAAAGTATTTGATGCGACAACGCAGTCATCAAGCTTGCTTGAGAAGTTCTACAATGAAATTAACGGTAGTTGTAGTAAACTTAATGATGGTCTGGAAATATTCCAAAAATTCAATAACATACTGATGACTACTTCTGAATATGTGCTGGACACACAACGCAAAGTGGACTTTGGTACAGTGCAAATAGTACAAAAACTTAGCAATATATTGGATAAACAGCGTGAAGAGATGGTTGTCTTTATGACAGAACGATTTGATAATGTAGATGAAAGTATCGTTAGTAATCATTTTGAGGCATTTCAAAATCTAAGTGCACTGGTGGAGTCCGAAATTAGTCATGTCTGGCGACAAATTTCGCTAATGCACACTGAAATCACAGACAGTAAGGATTTATTAGGTTTAATGAATGGCAGAAATGAAATATACTTGAATAGTACTTTTATTAGTATGGATGCTATGAACAATAAAGTAGCGGAGATTAGGGCACGCATGTTAGACATGGACTCCAACTTAAACTTTTTATTAGGAAAATTGTCTATCATGTCACAAGAATTTGGCAATATTAAAAATGGTTTAGCAGAATCTCTTGAAGAATTGCGCAATTCTTTTCACACGATGCAGGAAAAGATGCCACCACATGGACCGGGTCCACATGACATAGCAAAAAATGAATATGAAACGGAAGTGAATTTACTGCAGAAACGACAAACTGCAGAGTAAATATATTAAGAGAGATAAAAGTTTGTAATATGGATTAAAGAAAGCTAATGACTAAATAAAAGAAATAAAAGAAAATCGGATATTAGGACAGTTTTTATATTTCGTTTACTACCACACTGCAGTGAAGATAGCAAATGTAACTTAAGCATGATTTTATTTGAGATATTTTTTTTTAATATAGAATTAAAGAGTGTAGGTTTTTATGAGAGTTCTTAGTGTTTGTTTAAATTTAAAATTATTATAAAATTTTTCAATGATTGCTCACATGTACTCGTCCCTATTTTAAATGTTACAACTATACTAGTATGCATTTAGAACATATACTTACAAATATATACCGGTTGGTATATTTCACTAATTGCTTACAACTCAACTTACCGGTTTACTATGTTTTAATATGCGAAATTTAGTATAAGTCACTTAATATTTAATATCAAATGTGCCAATATTTTATATACAAATATATATACATGTATATGTTCACTATATGTACATTAAAATAAATTTTTTAATAAAAATATATAAAATATAAATTTTTGAATAATAAAAAAATTCCATATTATATGTAAAGTGGGGACAAAGGAAGTGTAAGTTATGATCCGCAAATTACGCCCAACATCTTGCTATAAGTGGAACCACATCTATATTGTAAAGCTTTTTGTTAACCACGGCTAAAATTGTCTTACCTGATTGTAAAAAGAAATGATGAGAAACAAAGTTGCAGAAATAGCTTACAGGAGGCATTCTCTATTCCCCAACCTCATTGGATATATTATGCTTTACTAAAAACAGTTCTCAGAGTTTTCGGATCTACGTCTACCTTCCTATCGCGGTTATACCGACAGGAAGGTGAACCAAGCATGTTTCACAAGAAATGGTAGGATTCTAACCCAGACTGCAACAGAAAATACGAACATCTGTTAATAAATATAACATCTGATCAATAAGTATGTAATTATCTTTGTTAAAAACTCACAAATCTTTACGATGTCAAACGATCTTATATAAAAAGTAATATATTTATTACATTTACTCTCAGGCAGTGTTTGTATAAATCATTCAGGAAAAAATATTCTGAGCTGGCATGGTAATCACCTTACTTCCCAGGAGCTTTACTAAGTCTAGCAAATACCAGCCTTTTAATATTTTAAGCACTTCAAATATTATTGTAGTATATATATGGTAATATAAAAGAATGTGGAAGGGAGTGTTTAGGGCATTTTTTCCTTTCACTTATTGTGGACTATAGTACTGTGTAATTTTTATAGAGGAAAAAATACATTAAATTTATAAAGTACTTTGTAAATTAGTAGTAATTAAGTAATAATAATTCAATAGTAATTAATAATCGATACTTATTAATGGAAATTTAGAATGTGAAGTAATTTATTAACACATTCACTTATTGTTTATTTACAAGGTAAACTGTTATTTAACTAGAATATAAACAAATATAGATATTTTATAATTTATTTTATGTAACTCATCAACACATTTTTTACAAATAAATTATATTTGTTCATTTTGTTTAAAGCTCATATAAATTTTCTTTCTTCCCGTGACTACTTATGAGATGACTTGCCATAACGTAAATTCCATACATCTGCTCATCCGTTCTACTTCCGAGAAATACTAGATATTTATATAAACATTGCGGGATATCCAGCAAAACATTAAAGTAATTTCACTTCAAATGTTCCCCAAACAAAGAAGACTTAGCAATTGTATTCCATCAACTGCAAAGACTTCCATACCTCTTTTGTTTATTTATAAACCCATGTGATGTAATAAGATTTCTTCTCTGACTTCTTTGTGATCATACCGTAACGCCCAAGAATCCACAATTTTTTTGATACATATCAAATGAATTTAAAATATGTACATAAGATATATGAGTAAGCGCATCAATAGAGATTCCTTGCGGTAGACGATTCATACATCATTCTTTTTATATAAGCTGGCATTGAGTAAGTTGAGCTAGAAAAAAATTGTTATATTCAATTTATTTTAAGGGGTGTATATCAGCCTACAAGGCATGCGAATCAAATTTTTCATTGGTTCATAGTATGTGTGAGAATCTTCGGTGGAGAGAATCGAGTTACATACGCTAGATGTATTAATGCATTTTGAATGAAATAGAAAATTTAAAAAAATTTTTTAAAATAAATATGCTTTCTCTTTTTGATAGCAATAATTCGATCGGTTTTTAAAGAATTCTAAATCCTAAATATTATAATATGTTCACATTTTTGAAATAAACTGTTTAATTGTTCTATGTATGGTTAAATTTGAAATAATGTTATGGATCGTGGCCAAATCGCATACAAATGCCTACATATCGGCGAGACTTCCCATTTATTAAAAAGTTTAGAACAGAAAAAACTCAGTAACAGTTTGTATGATATCAGCGAAAGTGTTAGTGTTCCGAGTGATTTTCCGCAGCACACCGTCTGGCCAGCTCATCTGCTTTCCAACTGCCGAAAATAAACCTATAATCGGGAACCCAGATTAAAGAAATATTGAGCTGAGTTAAGATCTTGTTTAGAGGTATGTACCTGTCAAAAACCGTCCTTAGTGTGAATTTAATTCAACTTAACGACTTTAAAGAAGCTTGACTATCCGGTAGTATGTAAATATTCTTTTTCAATATATCATCCATTTTGAGGCAAGCTACAACGTTCCTAATGGCTACTACCCCCGCCTAAAAAACATTACAATGCGCTGGAATCCTATAGTTGGAAGATTTATTCAGTCCTTTCTGAGAAAACTCCACTGCCTGTACCACCACTTGTTTTAGATGAGTCAGTAAAAATGTTTAAACCCTTCCCTCTTCCTGAAAGCCATATATCTCTAGATGAGAACTCGATACTGAATTTTCTGTCAAAATAGAGGATGGAAGGGATGTCGTCAATATTGTTTGGAGTGAGACTAAAAAGGTTAAGAATGGAGCTGTGTCCATAGTCACTAGTCATGTATTGTGAAGTAGAGCATCATCTGCTCTTAGACTTGATAACTCAGAGTAAACTTAGTTCTAACGCAACAGATGGTGTGGTTCACAGAGTATATCTAATGCAGAGTTCAGCTCTGCACTGAACGCTGTTGAGTACCGTACAGTACGAAGTTTTGTCAAGGGGCACTATACGGTGATAAAACAGTATTAATAGCGTAATACTGTAATGACAGCGTTATGTAGTCATTGAGTAATAGGTGGTTATTGTTAAACACTCCTTCACTATCAACAACAGCAACCAGACAAAATTTTTTTAGTTTGAAAGATTTTTCAATGGTGTGAGTGAGTACATGGAGAGCTGTCATGTCAAATTTTTCCTTAGTGTAGGCGTGTTGCGAGAGACACTAGAGACTGGGATCAATAACGCATTTTATTTCTATATCTATATTACTTTTTAGAGTCTTCAGTATATATGATGAGAAGCTTATTGGACAGAGTTCATTGGGGCTATTATGATTAGTTTTGCCTGGCTTTCGAATAAAAACAACTCTAACCTCCTTTTAGCAATTTTATACAAAGAGTTAAGCTAGTGATAGCTCCTGGTGTAAATATCATTCCACATCAATTGTGAAGATTGCACATTTCCAAAAAAGTGTCTAATGTAGAAATTTATCACGATAAATTTCCCCGACTTCGCATAGTCGAAGTCTGAGGTTGCGCTTTATTAAAAGATGTTATTGTGATCCTTAAGCGAAAGGTAAACTTAAACGTTTGTTAATTTATGTATGTATGTTTAAATTATTTATTAATTGTATAAAAAAGGTTATGACAAATATTGTTTTTAAAATTTATACTACTTAGTTCAGAAAAACGTCTGTATAAATAATTTCTGTTAAAGAATTTCCAACTGACCTGTAAACCCAAAGCTATCTTATTTGGTTTACTATAAACAGTACTAAAAAGAGAAGTTCAGGTGTACTACATAAGAAGTATTGGACCATAAAATAAACAACGGAAGATTAATATTTTATTAAATATGTTATTTATAGATGGACGAAAATTATTACACGTTACCTTTTCTATATCCATTTTACTATAAATTATCTTCGTTCCGTTCAATTTTCAAGATATGTATATTGAATTTTACAAAAATGACATACCAGCCAACAACATCGTAGACGGACAGATTGTTTGTAGTATTGTTGATAGTATTTTAATTGTATTCGCCTGAAGAATCAATACTTTAAGTGATGAAACACCAATATTTCAACATCCACGCCGTTTAGCGTTGACAGAAAAAAAGTGTTTGATAAACAAGTTGAAGATTGGATTAAAAACGGTATAGTAGTCGAAGGGACTTCAGATTTTGCAGGTAAAATTTGTATTGTAAAGAAGAAGGATTATCGTCAACTAAATAAAAGAATCATCAAAGATAGATTTCTACTACCTTTGATTGAAGACATAGTGGATTCGCAACAAGAAACAAAAGCGTTTAGCACAATAGATTTAAAAAACGGATTTTTTCATGTTCCAGTAAATAAAGAAAGTCAACAGACACTTTATTTTTCTGAAGCCATCATTTGGATGCTGCAATGCACCATCAGTTTTTCACACTATTTCGATTTATAAACGAAACACTTCAAAAATTAATTAAAACACATATTGTTTTAGTCGCAATTATTGCGAATTTCGAGTGGCGTTCTATTGTTTTTTGCTGTACTAATAATGTTGATATGAAAACTCAATATATTTGAAAACAAACAATGGTAAATCTTAATCTCAATCCAAATCTCAATCCCACAATCTCAATCTTAATCCCAATCTCAATTCCAACCCTAATCTCAATTCTAATCTCAATCTCACTAAGGTTTGCACTTAAAGTAATAAGTTTAAACCAGAAAGCTTGGTTATAATTTGGGGTGAAGGAGGTGGAGTTATTGTGCACACGCGGTGGGCAGGTCAATTGTAAACTACTATGGCCAGGGTCACGAAAACCATGGTTTCAAAGTGGGATGATAAAACGATCTGATTGGCTCTTATGAAAGTACAATATAAGATTAAGTATTTAGGGGACTTATGGCGCATGGCTGTCAAGATGTCAGAAGAAAGGGTGCTAACCGTTGATATATCGGGAGAAGGGTTACACAATCGAATGGGATAGCATCGGACGAGCTTTCAAAAACGTTCATCAGCTGTTTTGTAATAAGCTAAGACCTACATTTCTTTGGAATTTTGTTTTATATCAAGGTAAATTCAAATCTTTGTTATGATTGAAGACCACCGATATCTAAATATAAAGAAAGTAAAAAATTAAAGGGTATTTACTGATTTGTGATTTAACAAAATTTGTTATGGGTTTTCCTCCACTTTAAGATACCAGTTTCAAATGCAATGTGTATAAACCAGGAAAGAATACACTAATAATTTTAAATAGTGGGGACCGATAAGGCTTTGTTTGAAAAAGACTATTTGCTTGAGTAAACATCCATG